AAACAAACAAAAAAAAAAGATATAATGGTAAGATATAATGGTAAGAAGGAGAATTGGACCAAGACCAAAAGGAGAAAAGTTAACTAGGAGGAACAAGGGCCCCAAATATACATTTCTGATCTTTCTTTCAAGGTCAACAGAAGATAACTTACCCTCTTCTCATTCCCATTCTCATCCATGCAAACTCTAACGAACCCTGAAACAAACACAATAAGATCTGAGTTCCCACCCATCCCCGAGAAATTCTAAGCCATTCACAATGTCTGCTCGGGCTACCTGGGCTAGTCCTTGAAGTCAACTCTGAAAAGAATCTGAGTTGGTTTAACAGTGAGGATGCAGGTACACCAAATACAGGTAGCTATCTTGTGGTTCTTCAAGCAGGCTTTGTGGTTATTAATGATTATGATGACAGCAACAGTGATAATATGGCAAAAACTACGGTTCATAAAGCTTTTTCACAGTATCTCCTTTGCCTCTTTCATATGTAGATCCGTGGGAGGAGTAGGGAGGAAAAGAGGCAAGACTCTGAATACTTGAAAGAGATCTCGAAGACTTACCAGGAGGAAAGAGAGATAACTCTGTAGTAGGTTTTGACTCACTGATAATTATATTAGGAATATATATCAATATCAGAAAATCGCATATGGTTAAAAAAAAAAGTTAAAAGTAAGTCAGCATAAACTATGGTACTTTGATATTAGATTCTATGTTATTGTATTTCTGAAGCCCTTTATAGTCGTGCTGAAGGTAGGTACAGTTCACAGAGAAGACCATCATCTGCAGAATATTGAGGTTCCCTCTTCTGTCTTCCACTTCCTCGTCCAAGATCCCTATGCATAAGCAAGCATGGCTTTTCTCTGTGAAAGGTTAGACAGACAGGATGGAAGGAGAGCTACACACAGAGAACTTTCTCGTAGCCCCATGGAGGTTAGAAATACAAACTTTCCATGAGCAGAAACGTAAAGATCCGGGTGTACGTAGCAATCTTCATTCAAGGCCAAATCCTGTGCCTGGGCACCCTCGGGTCTCTAGAATGGATTTTGTTGTTTTCGTTTTGGTTTTTTGAGCAGGGTAAGAAAGATATTCTGAGACTCACCAGAACACAGCTTGTGGAGGAAGGAATTGCCCAAGGTGACCAGGGGGGTGAGGTCTTCGATTCGCTGGAGCTTCACTATGTTGGAGCTGGCGTCTGGGCCTGCTAAGATCCTCAGCTGGGCCATGTCGTACCGATCCCCAATTCCAATGGGGAACACCGTCACTCCTAGAGTTAGCAGTGGAACAAGAAAGGGTCTGTGTTGACCTGCTTTGGTCAGGTAGACTCAAAATGGGCTGGCCTGAAGCTATACCCAGCATCTGGTCACAGGCACATATCCTGTGAGGAGGGATAGTCAGTCAGTCCACAAATGTTAAAGATCTCCTCCTCTGTGCCAGACACAGTGAACGAAGCAGACGAAGTGCCTGTTCTCAGGGAGCTAACACTGGGAGACACAGACAGCAAATACACAAAGAAGTATCCAGCATTTCAGATATGGACAGTGCTCAGGAAGAAACAAAATGGGATACGGATGACAATAGTGCCCAGGGGTAGGAGTGGGAGTTATTGTTTCATACAAGGTGGTTGGAGAAGAGTTCAGTGAAGAGACGACATTTGAGCAGTGACCTGAAGTGAGGATGGAATGGGCCAAGAGGATATCCAAGCAGAGGGACAGTGAGTGCAAAGGCCTCAGAGCAAAAGTACAATGCATACGCCAGGGAGGCTGCAGCAGGGCAAACAAGAGAGGGAGTGGGGCATAGATCGTGCAGAGCTTCACAGGCCACGGTAAGGACTTAACACCTTCTCTGAATGAATGGAAAGCTGGCCAGGACTGGAGCGGAAGAGTGACACGAGCTGAAGGGTCGCTACAGCTGCTATGTCGATTATGAACCACAAGGGACAAGGGTGGAAGCTGGGGTTCCAGTTAGAAAGACATTACAATAATCCAAGAGAGAGAGGATGGAGTTCACTTTATATTGAGTTGCCTGTTAGAACATCTAGATGGAATTGAGGTTGAGAGATCCAAGCTGGAGACAGGAATTTTGAAGTCAGTGGTGTACACATGTATTTAGACCCATAACACTGACTGAGATCAGAGAAAATGTCTCAGGGCTGATCCAGAGTATGTGCATGCTTATTTACAGATGAGAAACTGAGGCTCCAAATAGTTATATGACTTGCCCTAGGTCATGTCTGTTTCCTCCAGGCCATAATTGCTTTCTTTCCTGATAAAAGTCTTTCTTTGGAGCCTTAATACTAAAGAAGAAAAGTCTCCATCCTAAAATTCCTACGATTAGTTCTCCAGAAAGTTCTAGGTATTTCCAATTTGCTTAAGGTTAGAGCTGGTTTTCTGCTAGCAACTTTTCAGCTCTTATAAGCTAGTTATATCATCCAAATGTATATGTATATATATATACACACACACACACACATCTTTTCCCTTTTAGGGTCCTTTTCCCTAAAATAATAGATTACATAAACATGTCAAATTCATTCATTCAACAAACATTAAATGGACCCTATTTTGTGCATCATGCACAGATGATACAAAAAATAAGCAAGATTTTGCCCTTGCCTTCTAAGAACTCCCAGTTTGTGCAACAAACAGATGTGTAACAAATAAATACAATGTGATTTGCACATTTTGAGCAGTTCCAACGTGGTACAGAAAAAGGAGGGAACAACTCTCAAGAAGACATCAGAGAAAGGGTAACTCCAGAACAAGGATCTGAAAGATGAACAAACAATTCTCCAGGTGGCCATGAGAGGACTTAACGTCATTCCTCTCACCTGGCCCTCCCTTGGCACCAGGACACCTGTCCTGGTTCACACTCTGTTGATATTCACAGCACAAGTTCTTATGGGACACCACGGCTGGGTCATGCCTGTATCATCCCCTTTCTGAAGCAGCAGCCTTTGCCTCTCGTCCATCCTATGCCACCTGACCCCCCACCCCCACCCCCAGCCTATTAGGCTGGTACTAGTAAAGGGCTCTGAATACGTAAAAGTCCCTGATGGTTCTCAGGACCCCACAGTGAACCACTCTGGCCTCAGACATGGGAGAGTGGTGAGAGACCAGGAGACCACCTTTAAAAAGGAAAGGTATGAGGTACAACCCACCCCTGGACACCGAGAGAAAATATGGAGCAATTAAAAGTCACAATGTAAAGCATGCAGACAAGTGAAAGATAGATACATTTATTACTGCTTGGTAATAACTGTCCAAAAAAAACACAGAGAATGGACAATTTCCTGCTGTTTGAAACCAGGCCACACATGGGTATTAAGCATTTATAATCAGCCAGGACGTCCGCAAGTAACGCCAGCCCACTTTCAATGCTCTAGCAGCTCCGCAGTCTCGGGACTGGACACTGAACACTTACGGTTGGATCTGGCGGCATCGACTGCTGCAGCCACTGAATCCGTAGAGACATCCGTGACCAGGATGACCACTGCCTTAGAGGCTCCAGGCCTGGCACCATGGATTTCAGAAGTGATGTATCGCACAGCAAAGCCCAACGCATCCCCTGATAATGGAGAATAAGCCACACCGGGTCAGTCCTGACCACGGGAAGTGGCATTTCTGAAGCCAGCTGGGCATCCTGTCTCCAAGTGGGTCCTTAGGTCACCAAAATGGAATGATTCAGAGACTCGGAGATCTGGACGAAACCTGGAAGAACATCTAGGCCTTCGATTTATAGGGAAAATACTAAGGCCAAGGAGCAAAGTGACTGGCCAAGGTCACTCGGTTACTTATGCCAAAAATTAGGACCAGGTGCAGCCCCTGTAATCCCGCCCACGGCACCACGTTACCAATTTGGCTGGGGCCTCCCTCCCGCTGCATAAAGTCCACGAGGCTCAGTAAATGGGCCTTCTCCTGGGCCACGTTCCACGGCACGTCGATGGTGGTGATGCTTCCATACTGCAGCACTGACACCTGCGTGAGCTGAGGCCCTGATGGGAAATCAACACGAAATCATGCTTGGGAACAGGTGGAGCCCCAGAAAGAGCCCCTTCCTAACCTGCACCTTCGGGCTCATCACTCACCTATATTGGCTTTTGAAATGAAAGCCTTGGCAAAACTCTTCATTTCGTCAAATTCAGAAGCTGGAAAGCCAGAGGAGCCGTCCAGGAGAAGGACCACATCCAGGGCCTGGCCACAGTCTGCAAAGAGACCGGGAAGGGGAGTGTGCAGTGCCAGCAAGGGGACTGGCCACTGCAGCAGACACCTGCATTCAATGAGCAAGCATGCAGGGCACCACTGACCATGTGGCCACCACCAAAGGGAGTGTTCTCCATGGTCCTGCATGAATGACGACATATGGGCTGGGGAGGGGGGAGGGGGCCCATGAGTGCCCCAGGTTTGGAGGCATTGGGAAAACCCCAGTGCCACCTAAAGGCAGTTTACATGCCTCCGGATGGAAGCAAGAGGCATCTGCTCCCTCAGTAACAGGAGGCTGCAACTCTTCTAGAATTGCATGAAATACTGGAGCAGCGAAAAGGGGAGAAGGCAAAAGGAAATGGCGTAGCAGCAGATCCCTGGAGAATCAGCTGGTATCTTCTTGGGTCTCATGAGTAGGTAAGGGCTGTAAGGTATGTCAATGACAAATGCCCAGGGCTTGTGTCACTGTTCAGGCACAGAGTCACGATCACAGTGAGGAAACAAACTCTGGCCCAAACACCATTCTGATATCTGAGAAGATGATGCTATTACTGTTTTCCTCTGCAGAAATATCATAAGAACATAAGTAAATCTGTGGCCCTGATTAAAATAAGAACAAAGAAACAAAGGCACTGATAACAAGTGTGAGGATCAAGAGACATTAGAAGAAGGCTAGTTATTCCGGGATGGTCCCAAACACACCGAATAAAGATGTTCAAGAACTAGGAACTGATCAGACAGTAGTATCGGTTAAGAAGGCAACAATCATAGCAGAGGTGGCAAGTGTTTTTGAGCAGGAATTGTTCTAAACATTTTAGAAGTACTGTTATTATCCCCATTTTAGATAAGGCGGCTGATCTAAACAGAGGTTCTTGCTGAAAATGAACCAAAAATTATTACCCCAAAAATTGCCCCAAATTACCCAGCTGGTAAGTGGTAGAGGTGAAATTCAAACTAAGGCAGTATGGCTCCAGAATCCAAGGACTTAATCTGCTACCTGTGACCTAACTCCCTGAAATTGTCCCAGGGTATGTCAGTTGCTTAGAATAACTGTCCCCATCCAATGTGGTGAAAAAGCTGGTAGCCATCAAATTTGACAGATTACCTCTGAGGCAGGGAACGGGGTTAGGTGGACATAAGGCTGAGTGATAAAGGCATATTTTTTACTCCACACATTTGGCATTGTTTAAATTTTAACAATAGACTTGCGTTACCTTTGAATCCACAAGGAAAGCTCCCCAATAAAGGGTCACAGATGCATCTCCCTGCCTGGGATGTGAGGACACAGGTACTCTGAAGGCAGCATGTGACCAAAGGCACAGACCAGGGGAGCCAGGATTAGAACCCAAGGGTCACATATCCACCAAGGCCACCCCCTGCCTGGCTCCTGCACAAGACCCAGCATACCTGGGGCGGGGGAGAGGGTGGGGATCTGCAGCCCCTCTCCAGAGCAGCACATCTGCAGCACCAGATCTGGAGCCTCTCGGGGGAGTGTCTCAAAGTCCTGGATGAGGATGGGGGCATTGGGCCAGCCGATCCTCTCCAGCTCCTGCACGTCAGCCTGAGGACCCACTCCAATGGGCACCACCTGGATGTCTCCAGGCATCCGTTTGATCTCGTCGGAGGCGGGGTTCCCCGTGACCATGTAGACCAGGTTAGGCGCCTGCTCCCGGTCCCCCTGGCTGGCGGAGAAGCTGTGTTCAGACAAGTACTGCAGGGCTAGCCCCGTGTTGGTCCTGTTGCCGCCCCGGTAGCGGATCTCCCGCACCCGCTGCAGGATGTCCCCCTTGGACTGTGCCTCAAGGAAGGTGGACTCCACGGTCACCACGTAGGAGTACTGCAGCACCATGACGTGGATGCTGTCCTGGCTCACATCCATCCGCTGGATCACCTCCTCCATGAACTCCTTGCTCCTGTTGAAATTGGCCTCGCCGATTTTGTCCGACCCCTCCAGAACAAACACCACGTCCAGAACCATGGAGTTTCTCTTGGGTCCCTCGGACAAAACCCCCAAGAGCTCTGGACCCATGGTGACTTGGGCCACAGGTGGGGGCTGAGTAGGGCCGGGCACTTCAGGGGCAAGGTCACAGAGGTAGCTGATAATCTCGTCCCTCCGCTGCTCCAGCTCGTCCACACCACTGAGCACAAAGGCCTTGTTCTCGGGGGCCTGCTTCTCGATGAGGCGGATCTGCTTGAGGTTGGCGTGGGGCCCAATGCCCACTGGGACCACGATGACCTTCTTCTTCTTCAGGCCCTGGACATAGCGGACCAAGTTCCGGGCCAGCTTCGGGGGCTCCTGGCTGGCCGTGAGGAGCAGGACAATGCGGGAGGCCTCGGGGCGGTCGATCTTGCTGAAGATTTAGAAGAGCGTGTACTTGAGGACCTCACTGGTGGAGGCCACCGAGCTGCCCGCGTACTTCACCTGGCTGGCGATACGCCGTAGCTCTGAGGGCCGCTTCCGCTCCCTGAGCTCGAGGTAGGCGTGAGAGCCGTCATGATACTCCACCACAGCCACGCGGATCCGCTTCTGGGAGATGTGCAGGCGCTCCATCATGCCCACCACAAAGACCTTCAGCACCTCGAACTCGGCCTCGGACAGCTTGTTGGAGCCGTCCAGCAGGAAGACCAGATCCAGCAGCTTGCTGCAGTAGAAGTCGTGCAGGGGCGGCTCCGGGGTGTCCTCCACATACGGGGTGGTGGGGCTGCCTGGGACTTCCGTGGGGGGCACGTCTAGGCCTCCAGGTTCCCCGCAGGCTTCACAGGTGAGGTTAACACCATCGCAGTGACTGCAGCAGATGGAGAGGAATGGAAATGGTTCAGGAAGAAGCTCTGAGCACTTCTCGGCCCTTCTCAGAACCATCGCACATATTCCTCCCATAGACCTGCCTGCCTGGCCCACCTGAACCAAGCTCCCATGGATCACTCTCCACCCAAGCGAGACATCGCTTGTTAATGCATGTCTACAGATAGCACCCCTCCCCCACCACACACACGCGCGCGCGCGCACACACACACACACACACACACACACACACAGCAAAGGCTTTCCTTAATTCTAGGACCTAAAAAAGAATCTTTCTTGCTTCTATACTAACCATCAGCCATTCAGAGTTGATTTCTTTTCAACCTATATCTCTAGCAATATAAATATTTAATTATAATCCAAACTTTCTGCCAAGTATCTCCAAAGACAAATATTGCTCTAAAATGGTGACACTGGCCAGGACTTGTAAATGTTCTACTGAAGATAAATGCTTTACAGTACTTAGTATAACAGAATTTAAATCGTATGAATTTTGTATCATGTTTAATATGTTGAGTCTTAAGGAAGAAAGGAAAAACTGGACTAAAACCATTTTGAAAAGATGAATAATGGTGCAAATTCCCAGCTTTATCTAGCAGAACAAAGCACTTAGGAATGGTATGTCGGGGGGGTCTCCAAGCTGTTAGACAAGAGAAAAGACAGAGGCTCATTCATTCATTCCTGCAGTGGACATCTGGAGAGCATCCGACGTGCCAGGGACTGGCTAGGACCTGCGCCTGGCCCATCGCATACCATGAGTCTTTAGCAGAGGGCTTGCCCCACACACGAATGCCTGCATTACCGGTCCAAACTGGCAGTCCTTTCTGGTCCCTTCCTTTCACCAGTGTCCTGGGAAGTGGGACAGCATGCCAGACCGCAAGTGAAATCCAGGCTGGGACCTTCTCCCCTGTGAACTCCTGGCCTTTGAGACGACTTGCCTTCGGCACCCCCAGGAAGGCCAAAAGGGCAGCTGTGCCCTGAGCCCTGGGAAGTGTCCCCGACGGCCTGCTTCCCAGATGGTGCCCCAGTTTGCTCCTTTGAAACTGTCCACACCTGTCTGAAGCTGCGGTATGTGCCCCAGGTGCTGCCCCCCGCCTCAGTGCCAGTGGAGGGCGGTGGGGAGATGCTCTCCACGCTCAAGCCCTGTGGCTGGGAGCCCCACACCAACACTGGGCTCACCCCACTCTTTATTCCTCACAGTCTCCATTTCAGCATAGGTAGAGTGGACAGGCAGGGTCTTACTGGGAAGTTAATTCCTCCTTCCTCATGGTCCACACGATTTATTGCTTCAATTCTTGGTTAGCAGTGCATTGAGTGACATACTTTCTAGTTTCCTGTGTTTGCTAGAACACTCACCCCGGGCAGTGTTCACTCTTGTTTGTACAGATGGTGGCGGCAGGATCTGACTCTGGCAGCTGTGGCCACAGCCCCATCCCCAGTGACTTTAAGTTCTCAAGTTTAAGTTCCCATAAGGAGCAGTGTGGAATGTATCAACATCTGAATACATGTTTCCTACTTAGGAGCAGGACTTCAGAAAGCTCCGTGCTCACCCTCAGGACTCTTTCTCACCTCTCCAAAGGCCAGTTCCCAGAGGCAATTGGGTGAGAACCCAGGGTGCAGTGACAAGTGTCCTCCCTTGCAATTACAAAGGCCATGTCCTGGGACCTTGGCTGTGGCCCTGAGGTGTCTCTTTACACTGAGAGGTCAGGGGTCTGCCTCACTTTTCTCCCCTGCATCCCCACCTCCAGTGAAAAAGAAACCTGACTTTCATAGATGCCTGTCCCAGACCAGATGTGACCACCTGGGACAGTAAGAGACCTCACCCTTCCTTCAGTGAGAAGAGGTTTAAAAGCCTAACCCTCTTAAGAGATATTTCCTGGGGAAGCAATCTAGTCTGTCCTTAAAGAAAGGGATACAAACTAAACAAAAACATTCCACCTCTCAACTTGCATAGCAAGCAAGTTGTTCCCAAACCTACACATCTGAGCAGGCCCCCCGAGAAGATGGTAAGACTCATACTTCAAAAATCAGGTTTTACCAGATCTGACAGTGCTTAGGATCACTGGGGTTCAAGGTGATTTTCTTTCCAGGGGCTAAGCGTTGGCCGGCCACCTCACATGTGGGGCAATCTTCGGGGTAGATGCAGGTCTGCAAAAGCTCATCCAGGATTTTCCCTGCATGAGAAAACTCTCATTAGGAGCCAAGGAAGACCTTTCCCGCAAGGAAGATTCACCTTTAGCTAAAGGGGCCTGTTCTGCCTGCCTCCCCAAAGGTCACCACTTAGGGAGCAACCTTCCTTCTCCGGGCCTTGAGTTCTTCCTCTGAAAAGTGGGTGGGGGGATTCTATCATCCTACCTCACCATCCCCAAGCCTCAGCACAAATGAAACCTCCAAGGGTCTTTTTACTCTACTGAAGACTTTATTTGATACGGCTAGGTCTGTACTGTCCAATACAGTAGCCAGTAACCACAGGTTGCTAGTTAGACTTAAATTAAATTAACATGAAATAAAACTGAAAATTCGGTTCCTCAGACACACAAGCCACATTTCAATAGAACATTCCCATCACTGCAGAAAGTTCTATCGGAAAGCACAAAGTGCTGCTCTAGATGATAAACCCATAAATAGGCATACGGAGCATTACACAGGAGCTCAGCCTGACAAAAATCATAGCTGGCCAGGCTCTGATGAAAAGATACTGAAAACAGAGCCCAGAGAGAGCGGTGGGGCTGGGGACAGGGCACCGCTGGCCGAGGCTGGGATAAAGCGGGGCAAGGAATCGCCTTCCCCACCCAGGGGCACGTGGCTTACCTGGAGGGCAGTGCGCATGGCAGCCCTCCACACACTGCACAGGGCACGCCAGTGGCTCGGGGTGCTGGCACGTGACAGGACAGGCGGGAGCGCAGCTGTTATAGCGCCACTCACACTCATACCCATTCTCCCGGAGATTCCTGTCCTCACAGCTCTGTGCTGTGGAGACAGAAGAAATGAGCACAACCATTAAAACACAGGCAGTCGTGTGCCACCTGAGAAGCCAAGACTGTACCAACGGCCCCGGAGAGACGGTGGGGAGACCAGCCGTGCTGATGGCTTCAGGGCAGGTGATGATTACATCGGGGAACTAAGGAATGACAAGAGTCACCAATATGAGAGACTTCTGGACTTTTAAAGCAACTAAACCAGGAACCCAGAGGTTCTGAGTCAGTTTTTCACATAAAAACAATCAACTTCTTAACACCTGAGGAAGAAAGAGTCTACATAAATGTATGAGGTGATCGCTCATATTGGCAAACAATAGTATCTAATTAAAAACATATATTGACTTCCTTCTTCTCTTCATCACTGTTCCCTATTCTCCCTCTTCCAGAATTTCTCCAGAAGTCTCTACATATTAATGCCTTCGACCCCTGTCCATCCTCCCCCACATCAATGTCTTAACCCCCTTCAGCCCTCTGACATCCATCCCCGTACTAGACTCTGCCTTCTCTCCCTTGAAGGGGTCTTCCCACGCCCTGCTTTAAGGTCTTCAAATCTAGATACATGAGGGTTGAGGGGAAGGTGTCTGAGACCATGACGGACATCAGGACTCACGGCACAACGTGGCTGTCCTCCAGGTCACCACCTTGCCGTGCTGGGCACACACATGGGCATAGGCAGCGATGGTGTCACAGAAGCAGGCACAGTCCCCAATGGACTCACAAGAGCAGGTGTCATAGATGCAAACATCCAGGAATGGCTCAGGATCCACCTGCAAGGGAGCCGCAGGGTGGCCTAGGCCTAGGACCAGACTCTCTGGCTGCTGGTCTGGGTAGAAGTGTTCTGGTGGTCAGAGTAGGGGAAAGGGGCTCCAGGGTAGCAGAAGAAATGCAGGTCAGTGGTTCCAATGAGGGGATGGATAAGAAGGCAGAATTTCCTAGCTTCTCATCTGTATTCCAGCAAGAAATGTTGAATAAAGCACTTTTGCCAGCCCTTCATAGAATAGACGTGCCTAAGAATTTTTCAAAAGAACATTCCTTTCTATCCATCTGTTTACCTGCTCAGTCATCCATCCATCCTCATAATCCACTCCCAACCTCATGGGTGTTTAGGTATTTTTACATAGACACAAACACACACACACACATGCTAGTCACTCTCCTTGCCTCCATTCAGTAAAGAGAATGAGGAAACACATCAGGACTCACTCAAGTTGCCCCGATGAGGGCTGGAATGCTGGACAATAGGATCGGCCCGGAGTCCTGAACCCTGGGTCCAAACCTGCATGGAGGGGTGGCCCACCCACCATCCGTCTTCGATCACAGTAACTACTTCCTGCTTTCCCTTGTCCCCAAACACACCACTACACGCACCGCCTTTTTCAGGGTCATTGTGGAAGAAGTGAATTCAGACATTAAGTGGGTCATTGCTCCCAAGACCTTCCAACAATCCCGATTCCCGTGAGTCCTCTCACCGTCTTCACTCTTCTGACTCAGATGCCCGGGATTCCCACCAAACCAGGGGCTCCTGAATATCCTTCTGAGTCCTTGGGGACTAAAACTCATTGTGTGGAAAGAAAGAGCTGAGATACAGGTATTCGACCAGTCACACTCACGTTGGTGGTGCTGCAGAGCAGTGTGTGTATTTACATTCATACAGAGACAGAAATTGCATTTATCCTTGTCTAGAAAATTCCTAACCACCATTTGAGATAAAGACACAAAAACAAGCCACAAAATGGGGGCTCACAATCCCTGAAGACAAGGGTTCCTGTGAGGTAAGACCTAGGAGCGAAAGGGTTTTAAGCGGTCAGGGGTGGAGAGCATGGGTCTGAAGACAGAGTCAGGTAAGTGGAAAGTGAAACCCCTGGCTCTAGTGTTGAAGACAAGATAGTTCATGGGAAACAAACCCTAAGACTGGGGCCCGAAGAGCTGTGCCTCGTGTAGAAGAAAAATGCTTTGCCAGGCTTTGCTCTCCTCACAAACGGTCGATTAACCTTTCTGTTTCCCAGCCTGAAGCCAAGGAAGGGAGCAACAGGGTGATCTGATGCAGGTCATTTCAAAGGCTCCAAGGCAGTGCCCACGATCAGAAGCTCGCGCTCCGAGTGCCAAGCTGTTGGCCAGCCCTCAGCACTCTCTGCGTCCAGTTACCCCCACGGCCCTCACCAGCTTGTTGCAGTCCTGGAAAATGTCACTGGTGAGGATCCGACAGGAGGAATCCACCATCGTCTGCTTCCTGATGTTGTTGTGGCAGGTGGCAGGGGATGAGTCCAATGACACCTGGGGATCCGGGCAAGAGTACATAGATGGACCCAAACCGTCAACCCAGAAGGATCCGAGACCCTCTCTCTGAGCGCTGCCGCCACTGCAGTTCATACCAACCACCCACGGCCCACGCGGAGACCTCAGACTTACTTTCCTGGTGTCGGCACACTGCGGGCTCACTTTCCAGGAATTCCCGAAGTCCACGGGGTCCTCCTCCACTCTGAGATTGCTGCTGGTGAAGTCGTTGTTCTGGATGCCATCAAAATTCCCACAGAGGCCGCACACCTGCTCCTGAGGGACAAATCAAGAGCCCGAGCATTGCAAACCTCAGGGGAAATTCTGGTTCAGGAAAAAGAGGGTTCCAGAGAGCAAAGAAGGCAGGCTCGTCTGCAGAAGAAGGGATGAGGATGGAGACCCAGATGGAGACCAGGGTGTTCTGGCCAAGTCTTTTTCTCAGGCTTCTTCACCGACCCCATTTTAAAGTCAAGGGAAAAAAAAGTCATTCACAAAGAGAGACGACCTGTCCATGTCCAACAGTCAGCCAAGGGCAGAGTTTGGCCCTGGTACCTCCAGGAATCAGGCAGGCTTGGCCCTGGTACCTCCAGGATAAACCATCACCCTCCCTAATCAGGGTCTGCACAGAGAGAGGAGCTGGTTCAACATCACATCAATGAAAACAGAAAGGTCTGAGGAGAGAACATTCTAGTCCAACTTTACTATGGACGGGTGAGTCCCTTACGTGGAGAACTGTAACCCATTCAAAGCAGGCTGGCCAGGATTTTGATGTTTACCAAATGCCCCCAAGGCCGACATAACATCTTATTTGTGTTCGTTTACTAGAGTGTCAGTATACAAGTCTTAAACAGGTAATTATTGAATGGATGGGAACCGTGACATAAAAACTATGGAAAGAACTGGGAATATTTGGCCTGGAAAAGAAAAAGTGCTATGCTCTTACAACACGGTTGAAGACCTGCCTTGGGACAAAGACAAGGAACCAGATTCTTCCCTAACATCTCCAGAAGGAACTCAGCCCTGCTGACCAGTTTTAGACTTCTGACCTCCAGAAACAAAAGATAATAAATTTGTGTTGCTGTTTTTAAGCACTAAGTTTATGGTCATTGTTATAGCAGCCGTGGAAATCTAATACAAGGGTTAAGATATGTACATACGCATATATGTACATGGATATGTGTGCGTATATATTCATAGATATAGGTAGATAAAGTTTTCCCCTGCTGTATCCACACTGCCTAGGATAGTGCTTGACACATAATAGGCGCTCAGTAAGGATTTGTTTTCCAGAAATGGAATGCACTGCCATGAGAAGGGCAGGGCAGCCTCACGCCAGTACGGCTGGAAATGAATGGTGCTCTCGGAAATGCTGTGGTGGTCCCTCCTGCTGAGATGAAATCAGCCACCAGTGTAGACAGAGCTCTTGTCCCATATATGCCAGTTAGAGAAAATGAAGTCCCAATAAACTGTTGGAACCTAGGCAATACTGTAAGCCTCCTCAAAAGTAGGTTGTGAGCAGTTTCACAAAGGGCTCTCGAAATGGCTCTGGCCTATGGCTCACCCAGAATACCTTGCAGTGTTCTTAATATTGTGCATGATTGATTCGCCTCTTTCGGTTAAGAAACCTTAAGGAAAACTATTGCCCAATCTTTTGTTTCCTTCTTTTTGAGGATGTAAACTGCATACCTAGCAAAGCCAGTCAAAGAATTGTCTACAGAAGTAGCAGGCCCTCAATCCCTCCCACATGCAGAGCCCGAGGAAACAGCTGAGGCTAACTCTACACTTCGAGTCCGTGGTCTTATTTGAATAAGAAGGGAGTCTTGACTAGATGACCACCTGCCTTCCCCTGAGATGGTAAGAGGGGTAGTGTCTACTTCCTGCTACTCAGGAAGCAGAGGAAGTTCCCAACAAGTCACAGACAAGATGAGGAGGAAGTAGAGGAAGTCCACTGACCTGGAATGTCTGCTTCAGGACCACAGAGATGCCCAGATGGCGGTCCCAGACCACAGAGAGAGCCTTGCCCAGCAGCAGAATGATGTACCGGCCAGACTCTACCACCTCAAAGTGAGTTTCATCCTTCATGGGCCTCTTCACATTGACCTGAAGGAGGACAAAGCGTGAGACAGGAAAGGAATGGACGGGCACGACATCCATCTCCTACCCCTGCTCCATACCCATGCCTGTCTCCATGGCCCTCCGGAACCACAAGCCTATAATATGCCTGCCTGTGTCCATCTTGCCTACCACTCTCCAAGAATCTTCTAAGGGACAAAAATAGAGGTGGCGGCAAAACCATAATTATGATATTAAAAATACAAGGAAACCAACTAGCAGAAGATCATCCATCACTTCACAAAAAAGAACTTTATGATATTTGATCATTAAATACATGCTGCCCCCTAAATATGTTTTTAATGTGGCAATGATTTTAAGCATCTCTAGGCAATTGATTCAATAATCTACCCCTTTACAAAAATTGGCGCTGGACTCTCTTCTTTCCTTCCCCCACCATCCACTCCCCAGAGTCACTGTCATCAGGAGTCGGGGCTGACAGAGCAGGGAGGCTGAGGAGCTCAGCCTTAGCGATGGGAATCGCAGATTTCAGTTTGTGGGACTCTGACCTGAGTCCTTGACTGGCTGAATCGTTGCCAGTGCTGAATCCTGAGCCCATTCCAGCAGCTTGGCTAATTTGTAAAATGAGGCGGATGCTGTCATCCCTTTGCAAAGGTCCTCTTCTTAGTGACATACAATATGCAGAGCTAATCACCTGCACACCTCCTACTCAATGTCACCACTGTCCTCTGTCCTAAGTTGAGCTGTTCTTTGAAAAGGAGCTGCACTGCTGACCCAGTCTGTAGGTCACGCTTGCTAAGCAGTTTGCTTCCACATGAAGGAGAATCTTTTGGCAACAGCGGTGGTACATGCAAGATGGTGGGGCGGGGGCGGGGGGTGGTGCGGGGGATGTGGGCTGAGACCACAGAACAAAATGAAGATAACAGGACAGGCATGAGTCCGGACCCTGGGTCTCCCTAGTGCTGGACATAGTCAGACCGGCGGAACCGAAACTGTGGGCTAGGGACTGCCCGCCACTTCAGACGCGGGGTCCTGGGCCTTAACCAGACCTACAAGTCAGAATCTCAGGGTGAGCCTGAGGTCAGCATCGTAAACAAGATCTCGGTGACTCTCGGTGATACCCTTCTAAGAACCACGTCAAAGCTCTTAGTACACAGGGACTGAATCAGTCTACTGTTCTTTTGAGCTTTTTAAAAAGATTTATCTGAAAAAATTGAAAACATAAAAGTAAAAACCCCCCAAACACCATCAAAAGATACATAATTACATATGTGTGTATATATGTATATATAATTTATTTTACATATATGTATTACATACATACATATACAAAAAAGGCAAAGCCCTCTCGTCGGCGGATCTCACTCCACCCTCCAAAGGCAAGCACTGATTCTTGCTATGCTTATGCAGATAGAGTTGCACACCCTTCTCCACACATATCTCTGCGCCTTATTTTACTAAAATGCAGTCATGCTATACATATCCACCTGTAACTTGTTCCTCTTATAAAATATGAGGTCAGATAATATAGTTCCCACCTCATATGCTCCTTCATGGCTGCACAATATTCCATTCACACGAGTTCTAAACCAATGCTCAGCACACATTCTTCGCAAGCTGAGAGAAGAACAAAGGGGCCTGAGTGGGGAGCGGAGGGGGCTGGCACTCACCTCCCCATCAAACAGTTCAATCTCTCCTCCTTCCACCAAGATGGTGACCCGCTTCTTGCATTTCACTGACGGGTAGCCGCACTCCTCATTCGCCACCAGGATCCGGAAGGTCCCAGGGTTACTGCCACAGTAATCCTGGGGAAAAGAAGTGCCAGGAGAGGAATATTACTCCTGCCACCTCTCCCCAGATCTGACGACGGGCGTCTTGTCATCTCAGGCATGGGTGCTGGAGGCTTGGCTGATGGGTGCAGCCACCCACTCCCAGCATGCCCTGCTCACGGCCAGTCCCGGCACTGCTGGTTCTGCTCCACTCCCAGCATGCTCTGCACATGGCCGGTCGGGGCACTGCTGGGTTTTGCCCCACTCCCAGCATGCTTTGCACACGGCCTTCCGGGCACTGCTGGTTCTGCTCCACTCCCAGCATGCTCTGCACATGGCCGGTCGGGGCACTGCTGGGTTTTGCCCCCCTCCCAGCATGCTTTGCACACGGCCTTCCGGGCACTGCTGGTTCTGCTCCACTCCCAGCATGCTCTGCACACGATCCTCCAGGCACTGGTGGTTCTGCCCCACTGCCAGCACGCTGGGCAGGCAGGCATGCTTAGTCACCCTCTCTGCCCGGCTCACAGGGCCCTGCTCGTTTCAGAGGCTGAGGATCCTACAGGTTTGTAGTCCTCCCTTCAGACCACACTAAGACTCCACCTCTCCTCCTCCTGAGAATGGAGGCAGAGAGACCACATTTGTTTAAAGCTTTACAGAGTCCAGCTGTCTCATTCCTCATGAGAAAAGCCTCCGTGTCCTCTCGCTTACCCACTTTGGTGTCACCCAGCAAGAGTAATTGACAGGAACCCACGCAGTAGGGAGAGGGAGCCAGAGGGGCCAGTGCCCTCACTCACCAGCTAGGATTTCCTGGGCTCTTTCTCATCCTGCTGGGCAGTGTAATTTTTCTGTTCCCCCACCCCAATCCTGCACATTCTGTATTGCACCAGGTTAGAAATAAAAATGTGGAGAATGCAGTGGAATCACAAGGGCTGGAAGCAAACTCTAGGGGTCATTTCAACCATGCCCCTGTCCAGAGCCACTGCTGCATAAGGCCCATGGTTGTTCACTGTACAGGATGCCAGCAGGGAGGGTGAGCGGGGGCTGAAATCCAGCCCCAGCTCCCCTCCTCACTGTGCACACTGACCAAGGCTGTGTCTGTCAAAAGGAGTGGACGCCTCTTCCTAATTCCATTTCAGTGCTAATTTGGGCTTGTAGCCTTGGGATGGTAGCCTTGCTCCCACACCCATCCCAGTCAACGAATGAGCTTCTATCCTATTCTTATAAGTCTCCAGGTAAACTGAAGAAAGATGGGTAATCACTGTTAGGTTCAAGCCCCAACCTCTTCAGGCACTTCTTTCAAGGGTTGGACAATCACTCCAGTAGAAACCATCCCCTAAGTTGTTTCTATAAACAGAAAAGCAGACTCTGACCTGGAAACCCCCAGATTGTAGCCAGCACCTCCCACCCCCTCCTAAGAACAGATAGCACCCCCCCTCATCTCACCTGCACCAGAACGTACTGGCACTCCCCGGGGAACATATATTTGAGCCCGTCGAAGGTGAGGTAGTGGGCCATGCCAATCGTGGAGCACGTGGCATCACATACGTGGTCTGTGCAGTTCCACTTCCGGTCCCGACAGACACTAGGAACAGAAATGGCAAAGATGGCCAGTGGGCACCTGGGGCATGAGGGGCTCACCTGGGCATTGGGAAACAAGGAGAAATTGAAGGAGCACAGAATGCTCTGGGTGCCACCCAACCTTTAGGAGCCTCAAGAAGTGGAAGATCTGCAGCCTGTGAGGCGTGGACCTTGGAGGAAGATGGCTTTGCAGTCCTAAACTGACACATTTTTTAAGCACAGGGCCCAGGAAGAGAGAGGGAGGCCATGCTGCTCTCCATGACAAGAGGGAAACTGAGGCAAAGGAGGGAACGGGCTGTCCACGATGATCCAGGTGGCCAGGAGAAGAGGCCAAGACCCAGTGTAGAACATCTGCTCTGGGTCGGCTAACGCTCAGCCTCCCTGGAATGGCCCCAGGATCTCTGCAAAACAGACTGGGGTTGGAAGTCATCTGAGGCTAATGGGGAAAACAAGACAGACAGCAGGAAAGTTCTGAGTCAGGAAAACAGTGATCAGCCGTGAATTTCTGCCAGGAGAGGTTTCGTGCGTACATCACTCTATGGTTAAATCTACAGTGATAGGCCGACCGCCACAATGCCCTATCCCGCCACCCCATAACCAGAGCTGACATCAGGAAACCCACCCTCTGTGTCAGAGGCGGTTAGTTCAGATCTCAGGGCAAAGAGACAGCTAAGTGCCTTCCTGCCTCATCCACGTGTACCTTTCCCTAAAGCTGCCCGCCGTCCCGAAGTCAAAAGCTGGGTGAATGAGCAGAGCAGAGCAGAGGGTTATGTGAAAGATGGCCAAGGAGAAAGGAGAAGACAAAACAGCCATCCTCAAAAGGTCCCTTTTCAAACTATGCCATCACAAGAACACTTCTGATAGGCTTACGGGGCAGTATTAGGGCAGAGAAGGACCCTCCAAACCCCATACCCTTTGGCAGCTTGGTCACATATGTAATGACTGATATAGGGCAAGGCCTTTATCTTCCACAGGCTCCACCTCTCTGAACAGAAACACTAACCTCTAGGAGTGTCTGTGCAGGGTAAGCACAGGCGATGATAAACATTCTGCCCATTTCACAGCTAGATAAACAGAGGCTCAGAAAAAAGGAAGGACTAACCATGTTCCCTCAGGGAAGTGGGGCAAGTGCCAGAAGTCCTGGGCCGTGTCTGCCCCCACAGCATCTAGATCTACGACCCCACCTCCGCTCGCCCCACCCACCGTGGCTCGGTCCCCAGGAAAGCCTCTCCCAGGGCCTCACCAAGTGTTGCAGTCAATCTTCACGGTCTCTCCCGGGGCGTACTCTTTGCCTTGATGGACGCAAGGACACCTTTCCAGGGCCACACATCTGTTTTCATGCCGGACCTACGGGAAAGCCAACCAAAAGTCCGGGGGGTCACAGTGAGTGGGCCTTGCCAGAGGTCAGGTCAGGGAACTCACGGCCAGGCTGAGGCTTGGCAGACACGGGCACCCATCTACTCGGATCCTCCCAGCTCAGCTGGAGACACTCTGACCACCCTCTGCCCTCACGACCTGCTGGGGGCACGTGTTCTCAGACCTCGACGTGCACATAGCCTTAGTCCCAGTAATTCCAGGCAGAGGATTTCCTCAAAGGAAATAGAGTTATGGACAAAGTTTAATATAGAATTACTTGTCATGGCAAAAAAATAGTGGAAGCAACCAAGTGGTCAACAACAGGAAAATGATTACATCCATTAAGGACTCTCCAGGTGATGGTGTCCTGCGGAGCTATTGAAATGGCTCATTGGGAGAGTCTTAAATGGTACGAGAAATACTTAGGTCGTTATTTTTTAAAACAGAAAAAAAAACTATGTATACATGTATTCTCAGTTATGAAAAAATATATATATACATTTCAAAAAAAGACTTGAAGGAAGTATAGAAGTTGCCTCCAGATAGTGGGCTGGGTAGGGGAATTTTATTTCCTTTTTCGGTTTTTGAAATTTTTTTCCAAATGTTCTTCAATGAGCACCTACGATATTTATAATTGAAGAAAATGGACATTTCACAAAAATGATGAATTACTTACTAATGCACGTAATATCCTGGAGGTGAAAGCTCCACACCAGCCGCAGGAAGGGATGGACCAAAACGAGAGTCTGGGGGCTTATTTGAGCCCCACGTACGCCCTCTTCGTGCAGCCCTGCTCTACTTCCCATCCCCCCACATCCCCCCATGAAGAAGTCACTACCTCAGCATGTCATACTCCTCAGGTCTGTCGGGATCAGGCTAAAAAGAACTAAGACCCACTGGCCCCAGAATCGCTGGCCAAACCCACCTGACCCCAGCATGTAGATGTGCTTCTGTCCTAAGCGTAGGAGGCAGCCCTGGATGTCTGCTTGGGCATGGCCTAAACAGAGTGATCTAAAAGAGGCCCGGGTCACCCTCAAGTGAAAGGACCATGGCACTTTGGTTCTAGAGTGACCTAAAGGGTAAGAAGCTCCTGGTCTGGGTGGCTCAGGAGCTGTTTGATACAGTCACTCCCCAGACAAGCCTGAGTTCCCAGGACTTGGAAGTAGACAAAGCCCTGGGAACAGGGGGTCTCAGGCTAAATAAAAGGCTTTCGTGTCAAAGATCAGAGGCCAAAAGTATGTGTGTAAATGTGCGTGTGCGTGTGTGTGTGTGTGTGTGTGTGTGTGTGTGTAAACAAACCTCAGTTGTTGACTTGCGTCCTGAGGGCCTAAGAGAAGGGATAGGATGGGCGTGCTCAGAGCAAGGAAGATGCAGGTCAGCCCTACTGTTGGTAGCTCTTATGTCCTAGGACCACCATTCTTTGAAGACAATGAGCTTAGGTGCCTAATAGGGAAGATGGCAGCTTGCTATGAACAGGGAGGAGGTGAAAATGTCTCTCTCACAGAGTCTTCAAAGACTGTCACAATTAAGATTCATTCCCACATCCCCCCAAGCTTCATCAGCTCTGACTTTAGGCCAAGGCCTGCCACCTAGTGGCTGCTCTAAGAATAACATAAATAATGCATTCGCTGGGAAACCTTGACAAGCTCGCTCTCCAACATTTCGCTCCTATAGTTAAGGGAGACCAGAAAAGAAGTCTAATTATCAGAAACATTACGTGAGACAAAAGTGATACAGAATGCATAGGAATGGATTCTAGAAAACAGAGCCCTTACCTCACCTCACCTCACCTCAGCAGAACACATGCCCTGTCGCCTTCAGCAGGCTGGATCGAGGGTTCCCAGGCCTCTCTGTCTGCCCGCCAGATGTTTTTACCTCTCTCCAGGTTAGTCAACCCACTGACAAAAAGTCTCACACACCATGGCCCAGGTAACCCCTCCCCTGGCCCAGGGCCGAGCCCCAGGAAGCCCAGCCCTCCTCCAGTGGACATAAAACTCAAATCCCAGCTTGGCCATGAGATTATGTTGCCACCTCCCTCTGTGCTCTCACTGACAACCATATGGCTCCTCTCTGCCCTGACTTATTTTAGTAAAAGGAGATTACTAATTGGTGGATTACAAATGGGACTGTATGATTTCACTTATGTGTGGAACCTAAAAACGAAAACAAATGATAAACGAAACAAAACAGAAACTGACTCATAGATACAGAGAACAAGCTAATGGTTGCCAGAGGGGAAGGGGGTTGGGGAAAGGGCAAAATAAAAAAAGGTAAAGAGAAATAAGTGGTGCACGTGTCCAGTTATAAATAAGTCATGAGGTTGTAACGTACAGTGTAGAGAATAAAGCCGATGATATAATAATTTTGTACAGTGTCAGGTGGGCACTAGACTTATTGTGATGATCACTTCATTAGGCATATAAAGGTTGAATAACTAGGTCATACACATGAAATAATAATATTGTATGTCAACTATATTTTAATAAAAAAACAGGACCTCAATATTGAACGAAGACTGTTATAAAGACCGCAGAGGGAATAGATCCATATGTCAAAGCTGGAGAGCAGACAAAACACAACCTTAAAAGGAGAGGAGAGGTTTCATGGCCACACCTCAGCAGGAGGCTCCCAACTTGAGAGAAAAGATCAAATCACAGCAGTCCAGTCGGGAACACTCAGAGTCCTAAAGCACTAAAGAAACCTAGGAGATAGAACGATAAAGGAACAATGCAGAGGATGATCAGGGTCTAGACGAGAACTGACCAGACACATAGGATAGGCTAGCATAGCAGTCCATGAGGAAATTTTGTAGAAAGTCACTTAAACTAAAAGGAAGAGAACCATCTCTGCCTACTGTTTGTCTTTTGTCACACCAGGAGGAGAATAAGATAAAGCTGACAAATGTCCTTCAAAGATTTCAGAAGAAAACAGGCAGAAATAGCTGTCGCTATTGTTTATCAACTCGTGACATCTTGAGTAAGAATGGTTCATGCTGGGAACATGGTATCAGGTCTTAGCCCTAAGAAAAATCATGAAGTAGAAAAAAAATTGATTTTGTTACTCTTCTCTGAAAAGGCCACATTCCCCCACCCCCAATACATGAACGCAATACTGACCCATTCTCCAAAACCCTTTTTACCTCCCAACCGTCCTTTGTTCATTTTCCCACCCCATCAATATTTCCAGCTCAACGCAGCTGATTTTTCAACTAGAGGTTTGCTGGGAAGAAAACTCTGATGAAATAATTCACACTAAGGTGTGAATGACTTCCCAGGAGGATAATAAGGTTGTAAGCTTTTTTTAAAGCTCTTGCTTGTTAACCAAAATGACTTTGGGGTTCTTTCTCTCTCTCTCTTGATGGTGCTTCTGGAGAGGATTCCAGCTGCGGCTGGAATGAGGAATGAGCAGTGGGCAGTGGATTGTGCTTTGCTGCCACCTCGTGGTAGACTTAGGTAATATTCTAACTGAAAGACGTAGTTCACTCAAATACCTTTGAACTAAAGAAAATGACTTGGGAAATTTTCTCACACAACCCCCTCATTTTATTGATCTAGTGGGCCTCAGAATGTGGACACTGATGTCTCAAAACCTTGCTTCCAATGTCCGCTAATTTTCTATAGCATCTTGATTCATAATTCATGATTTTCCTCCATGAACTTATTTTGTTGCTTATAAGCCATTAAACCACTGCCTATAAGCAACTTCCATGTGTCTGCCACTGTCCTACTTAGTCCTCTCAACAACCCTTCTAACCCAATTGTACAGACACAAAGAATTTAAGTGACTTGCCACTCTTAAGTAAATGTTAGGAGCTGGGATTCAAACCTAGAATTTTGAAACTTCAATTCAATGCCTTTCCCGTGCTGCTTCTCCACTAACCATTTATCAGGGTGTTGACCACTTACCAAAAGCACCCCAACCCTCCTGTTCTATGCAGAGACCTTTGCACCAGCGGCAGGAGTAGATGGAGTCTGCAAATTGTGGACTAGAAAATCTCTATTCTAAGCAGGTGCCATGCCTGGAACAGAGCACGAGAGGGGACTCTCCCCCCGATCCCAACATTTTCAAACAGGTGCTGCTGGCCTAACAATGGACATCGAGAGATGCCTTGAAAGAAGAAAGGCAACAACCGAGAGCAGCGCTGCTCAAAGTGCGGTCCAAGGACCAGCGCCAGCCGGTCTGCCATGATCTAAGCACAGAAATGGGGAGAAGGTGTTTAGGAAACCATATGGCAATCTGACTAATGGATCATGTCTGTTGTCTAATAAAAACTGGGGGAAGTTCATGTTTTGCATGCCATTGCTTTTTTGCTTCACTTTTCTGATCATTCTTTTCTATCATATTTATAAAAGCGTTGGTCCACAACAGGTCAGAAAATTAAGAGAACGGGTCCTTCGCAGGTCTCTCCTGTGGACAGGAGGGGAGGTGAACAACACAGCCTCTGAGACTGAGCCTTGGTTATTTACAAAAACAACGATTAAAGCTATTTCTACGATTCTGTAGCACTTTCTGGTTTTAACGGTGCTTCCACACACAGCTGCTTCAGGCCCACAGCCGATGTGTGATGAAGGCAGGACAGGAATCATGTGTCCGTGTTACAGGTGAGGCAGCGGAGGCTCAAAGAAAGAGTGGATGACTGTGCAAGAGCAAGGAGCGAGACAGTTGTGAAGCCTGGACTGAGTGCTTGGCCCCCTGACCCCTGATCCCACTCGGTGCTCCTTCTGCTCTCAGTAGGTCTGCCCCCCAGGAAAGAACTGCTTCCTTCCCCTTTTCAAGTCCTCAGAATGCAGAATCCCTGACCTCTCCCCCCAAACCCTCGGTAACATGCCACGACCTCGCCACTTTCCGCAGGGGCTGTGGGGCCGAGCCGAGAAACACCCGTGGGGAGGATGTCTGCACCATCCGACAGGCCCAAACAGGGTGTTTCTAGCTCCTTTTTCTTTGCGTTGTGGCCAAGAACACGTGTCCTATGCAGCAGCCAACACACTGTGCACTTAATAAATCACCAGTACTTTTCTGCTCTGCTGACCCTGGCCTCAACAATTTGCACGTTAGTCGGCATTGTAATGAAGCAGTTGTGAAAATAACCCAATCTCTTACACTATGAGTTTTCGAGTTTACAGTCCCCGGCAGTTGAGGTGAAAGACACCCGTCATATGACAGATACCTAGACTGTCCTCAGAATGCATACCAGAGGCTTCAGGAATGCCCAAGAGCTCCCACCCAACAGTGCATCCACACCCTGCACTCGAGGTCTCACTCTCTACTGGGGCTTTGAGACAATAATGCAATGATTGTAGTTATTAATATTCAAGACTATCTGTACTGTTTCCTTCATGAAAATAAAGTTCATTGACGAGTCCCTGATGCTGACATAATCTCCTGAGGGATATCCTTTTTCTCGCCAGAAAATTTCACCTCCAGGTATGGCGATGGGACGTTCAAAACAAGGGGCCCTTTGGATAAAAAGAGCAACATGGAAGCTTGCCCTCCCCTCTCCTATTTCTGACGCTGTCCAGGTCTGAGCTTCCTCCTCCTTATCTACCTCTTTGAATAGTCACCTTCTGCTAAGGCACCAAACAAGACCTTCCAGTTTGGGGGTGCTCCCTGGCCAATCTCTAGCTCCCTCATTAGAAAAGACGGTTCCAGAATCCTGAGAGGCTAAAACAGAGGGGAACGCCCAGGGGAGAATGAATAACAGCTAGTCTCTCTGTCTTGGAGGAGAAAGGGTTGGAGGGAAGGAGAGAGACCATCTGCCCTGCACACAGCCAACTGGCAGTCTTCCTGAGTGCCACCGGTGGTGGGTCCAAGTGCCCACCACAGAACACTGGTAGCTCCCATGGCCCAGGACACTGCCTCTCCAGTTGAGGCCTGGGCATGATTCATGCCCATACAGCCATATGAGAGCCATACTGCTCCCTCCCATTCTAACCTCTACAACCCCTGCCCCTCACCACTCGCTCTGGGTCTGGGGAATTAGAGTCAGGGAAAGCAAGAAGACGGGATGTATTTGAAAGGGAAAAACCCAGAAGATGCATCCTTCAGGGTGACAAGAATAATATTTGTATAATATATTTAAAACAAATTGGCCTAAGATTAGACTTGGGAGGGAGGTAAGGAAGCTTGGGTGTGCTCAGACCATTGTCACCACCAAGAGGCACATAGGAGCCTCCTTGGGCCACTCCTGGCCTCCAAGAAGCTGCTGGCCACCATTTGCATGTTTGCAGCTCCAGTCCCAGAATCATGGAATGTTAAGAGCTGGCCAAGACCTCACAACTCACTTTATAGAGGAGGAAAACAAGGCTCAGTGTGAAGAAGGGACATGTTGGACCCATGGCTTGCTGATGGCGTGACAGGGACATCAATGCCTCCTCTTGAAACAGGAAGTTTCATACATATAGTATACGCAAATCATATGCAAATATGTGTGTCTTCTTCGCTTCACGCAATGGAACAAAGCCCTTGAGAAAATTCTAGTGGAAATGCCTGTTTTCACTTGTAAGTATTTTCTGGAAATCCTTGCTTTGCTTCCAAATTCTAGTGGAAATGCCTGTTTTCACTTGTAAGTATTTTCTGGAAATCCTTGCTTGGCACCTCTGTGTGCTAAATCCTTGTATTTTTGTCTGATCTCACGAGGATCAACTCAGACACTTTCCCTGACTTGGGCAACTGACTGAGCCACAGAGGACTCTCCCCCACCCCTGTCCCCATCACCACCGCCACCCTGTTACCATCCCGGCTTAGCTCTTGTTTCTTCCCCTCTGTCCATAGGGACATGGAAGGCTGCCAACTCCTGCCAGTGGTGGGCGGCTCACCATGCCCTGGGGGCAGAGGCAGCCGGAGACGCAGCCTATGCTCATACACTCCAGGTCGTAGTTCTGGCAGGTTTTGGCACACTCCAGCCCTTCAGCTCGTGGGTTGTCAGCAGGACACACGAACTTGACCATGGGCGGCCGGCAGGACAAGCTCCTTTTGCCTTGGAGACAGAAAAATCAAAGAGGCCATCAGTGATGGAGTGGGTGGATCTACTTTCACGCTGTCCTTTGGTCCCCAAGGTGTAGTCACTCAATTTCTGAGACACTGAGCTGCCCACTCCCTGGGGTGAGTGAGGAGCTGCCCAATCTCCAACCAGGTCTAGCTTTGCGCCAGGTCCTTGTATGGGACTGTGATGGCAGCCTCACCTACTCACCTGAGCCTCTGACCTCCGCCTATGCTGGAGGTGCCTCTCAGATCCCAGCATCCCTCTGCTGGCCACACTCCACAACCCCCTTGATCCTGCTTTAGCAGGCTGCATTGAATAAGGATGCATTACAGAAATGTCCAGACCCAGGCTTTAGAGGACCTGGGTTTGGGTATTAAAAAGGAATTTCTGTGGGCCCCCACAGGACCGTTCTAAAATGGTTACCCCTAATTTAGTCACAAAAACTTTAAAGAAGACTTGCTTTGCTCACGTGTCATCCTCCGCCCAGCCACTGGCCATCTCGCCCACTCTACACTGGCAATACCCCCCCGACACGCCCACCTGCCCTCCCTGCTGTGTCACTGTCCATCTGATCACCATCTGATATCACCACCTGATATACTATATGTTTCATTTATTTATTTTTCCACCCCACCTTCACCTTGACCCCACCCACTAGAATATATGCTCTGTGAAGGCAGGGGGTTTTGTCTACTTTGTTCATTGATGTATCCTCTCTCCTGACAATTAGCAAGTATCAATGGCTGACTGAAGAAAGGATGACAGGAGATGATGATACAGCACCTTTCCTGCAGAAATCTGATGCACTTCGTAGCATTTATATCTTACTCTATATAGCACTTACTATCTCTTGTGGACCAGAAAGCCAAAATTTCCAGACTTATTTTTACATGGAAACTTTTTTAGGAAATTAAAATCCTAAAAGGTCAAATGGCTTTTCCAAATCACACAAAATTCTAGTAACTTTCTGACTTAGAAATAGACACCCCCCAGTGAATACCCTAAAAGACTCTGAGCAAGAGGAAGCATTAAAGCCAGACCCAGGAGGCAGAATGCAACAGAAGGGGGTGGGGGGGTGTGGAAAAGATGCTACAATGAGAGACAGCATAAAGAAGAAAAAAGACTTAGTGACCTTGAAGTTGGCTATGGGCCGAATGTTTGTGTCCCCGCCAAAATCCACATGTTGGCATTAGATGATGAGGCTTTTGGGAGGTCAGTAGGTCATGAGGGTTCAGTCCTCATGAATGAGATTAGTGCCCTTATGAAAGAGACTCCACAGAGCTCTCTAGCCCCTTCCACCATGTGAGGACACAGTGAGAAGGCATCAGCTATGAACCAGGAAGAGGCCCCTCATCTAACCATACTGGCACTCTGGTCTCAGACTTCCAGCCTCCAGAACTGTGAGCAATAAGCTTCTGTTGTTTATAAGCCACCCGGTCTGTGGTATTTTGTTACAGCAGCCCAGACTGAATAGGACAAGGTCACGTGTTTTGATTTCAACTTGCGAGGGATCCCCGTGCTTGGGATCTTGCCCCGGCTCCAGGCTGAGACGCTCCACAATCAGGCATGCAGGGTGACCAGAATTCTCACCCAGGGCGAGCTGGAAGGCCAACACATGGCACAGGGCTGGGTCACTTGGAGAGAGGGCATTGAGGAAAGTGAGAGGCAGAGAGAGAAGAGGTCAAGCTGGAGGTTGAAAATATCCCATTTATCTGCCTAAAGGTATCTCTCCCACCTACTGGGAGAATCCTTCCTAAGCAAAGATGATCCTTCTGGAAACCAATAAGGCCCTCCTGGTCCGTTAATGTGAATATGGTCCCACCGACCAGGTCAGCCCCTCCTCCCTCTGGGCCTTGTCCTTAAATAGCAACAACTATTAAGACCTTCAAACTAAGAGCAACAGGTCTGAACCCCCCTCTTCCAAATCCATCTGAGAAGCTTTCAAAAGAGGTATCCTTGACAAGTCCTTAGGAAAAAGGAAGCCATTAAAGGAGGGTGATTTTCACCACAATCAAGGCGACCGCCTCATTCACATCCTTAACTCACTGGGTTAAGGTCACCATGGGCAAATTGGAGGTCTCACTGAATCCATCTTGCAGAAAATTCAGTCTTTCACAAGTCACCAAATAAAACTCTTCCAGCCTCCATAACTTGGACTTACACATGCAGAGGCCTGTCTAGGCCTGAAAGTCACTCACGCAAACACAGAAATTGTGACAATCCTGACACGTGTCCGAACGGACATGCACATCAGACAGTAGCCCAGCTCTCTCCCCGACTCCTCACGCGAGGAGTCTGGGCAGAGGGAAGTGAAGAGCCCTTCCAGAGCACTACTTACTGCGGTGAGACAGGGGACTGCTGAGGACAGTTTGTGGCAACAGGCTTCCCGGGGCTCCACTCGTGGTGCAGCGCATGAAGCCATCCTCACAGTAGCTGCGAAGAAAAACCACAGCCCGGCTTTGCAAGAGCAGCATCACTTGCTGTCTCTGTATCTTCACCTCCCGCTCCCTCCCTGGGCTCCCGATCCCGTAACTCGTCTGAAACACAGCTGCTAAGGCCACCAGCGACCACTGTGTCGCTAAACCCAATGGACCTGCTCTCAGTTCTTTTCCTACTTGATTCCCTTCAATGTTCCTCATCATTATTGTCTACTCCATTCTTCTAGAAAATCTTTTTTTAATTTCTCCTGGTTTTCCTCCAAGTTGCCGGTTGCTCCTCCTCGGCCTCACTATACTCACCCTCGTCTGCTGGGGCCATCCTAGCGTCTCTGCTTCCCACACCGTGTGTCCCCCACGCCCCGGCTTCCACTCCAGAGACGACTCACACATTCACATCAGCAGCTTGGATCTCACCTTTGAAACCCGGAACCCATGTACTCAAATGCCCGTGACATAGGACTGCCACATTTGGTGTCTCACAGGCACTTCGAACTCAGTATGTCCAAAACTGAACTCAGGACCCCCCGCCAAGCCAGTCATCCGGGGCTCTGAGTCATTGCATGACACCTCCATCCACCCGGTGCCACAACCCAGGGATCAGCCCTGACACTGTCTTCTCCCCACCTCCTACATCTGACCCATCGCCAAGCACTTGGACTTTACCTCCTAACCATCCCTGGAATGCATATCCACTTCTCTATCTCCATTGCCTTGAGCCACCATCACCTCTCACCTGGACAATGAAAAAGCGTTCTAACTGATGCCACAGCACCTAGTCTTGCCTCTCTCCAAAACACACTCCTCTGGGCAGCCCCAGCATCTTTCCGAAACCTAAATCTGATTATTCCACATCCCTGCTTGGAATTCTTCAATAGCTCCCGCTTCTAGGCATTAGGATAAAGATCCAGTCCCTACCATAGCCTCCCCAGGCCCCACACTGTCTGACCTCTCCAGTCACCAATCCCATGGCCGTCTTTTAATCTGAAAGGTATATTGCTCCCTTCAAACACAGGGCTTTGCATACACCGTTACCTCTGATCTGATGTCACTTCTGCCCAACACACACACACACACACACACACACACACACACACACACACACACACACACACACACACACACACACACACACACACACACACACACACACACACACACACACACACACACACACACACACACACACACACACACACACACACACACACACACACACACACCTTTCTTTGTCCCCGACCCATTTCAAGCTTTCATAGACCACATACTTCTCTTCCCAGAACTTACCACACGTGTAAGTTTAGCTGTATTTGAGTTTGTATTTGGTTACCATCTCTCTCTGTCACTGGACTATAACAAGATCCAAGCGGGCAGAAGCCATGACTGCTCTTGCTCACCACTGTACCCCCAGCATCCAGCATAAAGTACACAATAATTTTTAAAATTTTTCTTTTATTCCTCCCCTCTAATCCCAACCCCTTCCCCTATCATGGGCAACTATTTTCTTGGTATCTATCTCCTAAACGGCCCCCTATGATCCTCACGTCTTGGTGGTCACACCCTTGCATAGTCTCCTCCTGCGTTGTACCAAGGTTGGTCTGTGTGACCAATAGTACATGGCAACAGTGACCTAGCATGTCACCTAAGATTAGGTTATACAAGACCGTGGCTTCCCTCTTTGTGCTCTCTCTAAGATTACCCAGTCTGGAGGAACTGTGTCACAAGCAGCCACATGGAAAGGTCCCCATGGCGAGGAACTGAAGCCTCCTGCCAACAGCCATGCGAATGAGCTGGGAATGGACTCTCCAGCCCCAGTCAACCCTCCTGATGACTGCGGCCCTGGCCAACAGCCTGACCGTAACCTTATGAGGGAACCTGAGACAAACCACCCAGCTGAGCTGCTCCTAGATACTGACCCTTAGAAACTATGTGAGGTTATAAATGCTTATTGTTTTAACCCGTTAAATTTGGGGGTGATTTTTTTATGCAACAACAGATAATACAATCTTATTCTGTTTAATGTATGCCTGCCTGAGTATATTCTTATAAAATATATGATTGTTTCGCATGCATGTATGTTTGATGTATATAAACAGTATTATCTTATATATCCCACTGTATTTTGCTTTTTTCATTCAGTGCCATGTGTTGAAGATTCATCCCTGTTCATACATGTCCTAATTCTTGGTGCTTCTAAAGCTGCACGATGCTCTGCAGTGTGCGTCCACTACATTTTACCTATTCATCCTCCCAATGATAGACACAGATTGTCATCTACTCCTTGTCACCAACATGGCTGTGATTAATATCTTCATACATGCACCCTTAAGAACCTGTGCAAGAATGTCTTTAGTATATGTGCCCAGGAACAGAACTGAGGGAATATCAGGTATGAATATCTAATCTGCACATACTGTGCCAATTGCTCTCCAGGTGCAACTGACCTTGGATTTGAATGGAGCAATGCCCTTCAAGATTAAAAGAAGGCCATGGGGTTGGAGAGGGGAATGGTAGGTGGGGTCGGATCATGTGAGCGCTGGGAGGCCAGAGTAGGGATTTCATCTTTATCCTAAGGCCCAGTGAGGGAAGATATTGAAGGATTCTGAGCAAAGATGGAACATAATCAGACTTAGGTTTTGGAAAGACACTGGAAGTATCCGAGTTCATCCATGTCCTACCAGCAGCAAATCAGGGGCCCAGGTCCCACATCCCTGTCAACACCTGGCATTATCCAGATTTCAAATTTTTCCAGACTAATAGATAGGAAGTAATATGCATTGTTTTAATTTGCGTTTCTCTGATTACAAAGATTCTGAGCATTTTTAATGTGACTATTGTTGGATCAAACTTTGTTGAATGAATAAGAGAATCAGCCCTTCTCTCTCTGGGTACATGCAGAGGGACTTACGCCTTCTGGTGTTTTAAATAACCCCTGATTTAAAAACTATCCTTCCCCAAATATCATGTTCTATCTGTCATTTGGACATGACCCAAAAGCTTAATTTTATTAAAAAAAAAAAAAACAGAGGTAGGTTAAAAATCAACTCCTGCCCAGAGCCTGGCCTGCAGTAGTTGAAGCACTCTACTGTGATGGCTTTTTGATGGCCACATGGTCATCATTCCAGGCCATGTTTGAAACTTCCAGGTCATGTGTGTTTACACCTTCCTGCCACTCTGTCATGAGCATCACTAGCATTTGCCCAGCTGGGCTCATTCTTTAGTGTGTTGTCTAAAACAGGAAAATCTACAGCCATAGATAAGCCCTGAGTTCCCTCTGGCTCACATACTCCATGAAATCTTAGTTTCTAAATGAAGTAGAGAAACAGGGTGGTCCATAGTGTTTGGCCCTGATGCCTGAGAGAGAGAGATGGAAAAATGAGATCGCTGATGTGCAGGCTCTGAAAAGAGCCTGAAGCCAGGGCCGTTCCTCCAGCCCTGTTCACCTGGGAGCTCCTACATCCTATCTCTCACCTTCCTTGTGCCTCTAAACTGGTAAAAATAACCAGTGACGCTTATTCTCCTCCAAGTCGACACAGCCTCCTACCTTCTGGCTTCTTTCCTTACCATACTAGTGAAACATGGGGGCCACTATGATCTTCTGATCACCAAATTCAACAGCTTATTCTCCACATAACATAAAGAGTTCAACAGTCCCTAGGTCTAGTCACTTGCTGGATGATCTGGCAAAGTGATAATCCCACTAAGCCTCAAATTCCTTCGTTAAAAAGCAAGCTTTGGCTGCCTAACAGTGTGATTGATTTTAAGGTCCCAGAGAGAAACACCTTGAAAACTGTAGCCAGACAATTGTAGTAAAACAACCACTGGGCTAAGGCCAAAAGCTCAAACCAACAGAAGATATCATTCTCTGTTTACTTCCATGATATGACCTTGTCCTGGGTCTGCTCTTTTTGCTGGCTTTTTTTTTTCTTTTTCTTTTTTTTTCTTTTTGCCTCTCTCATGGGATCCTCTTTCTCTTCTTCTGGCCCTCTGTACATTCCCCCAAATTCTAGATTCAGTTCTCTTTTTTGCTCTTCAGTCCACTCCCCTTAGCAAGCCTAGCTATTCTTATGCCTTTCACCGTCACCTTCATACAAATCTTTTTCTCCAGACTCAATCTCTCCCTCAAGTTCCAAACACTTACCTCCAGCTGTTGATTCCATTCATTCACCAAGATGCCCTCTGGTAACTCAAAGTCATCAAGGTCAAAGCCAAATCTACAAAGAGCCCTCTTGTTGTTCTGGACGGCACTGTCCCCCCAAGCATTCAAGTTCAAAACCCTGGGGCCATCTTCAACAAACCTCCTGCTCCCAAACACCCTCCCAGGTTGTTTGCTTCCCAATGTCCTACCTCTGTCCCCACCTCTGTCCCCAGTCTCCATTTACACCGCTACTGCCTGCCCAGGGCAGCTTTCGGCCAGGCTGTGTCAACATCTTCCCACAACTGAGCTCCCTGCTTTCATATCTCATGCAGCTTCCAGAACCCACTCCCTGAAGCTACACTTTGATCCTATTTGCTCTGTGCTCAAACCTTCCAAGGTCCCACTGCCTATTGTTCAAGCACCAGTCCTCATCCTGTCTTTCAAAGACCCCCTGAACCTGGTCTCGACTTCCTTCCTGTCTTATCTTTCCTTCATACAACATATGTTTCCACTGAGGATTGCCCTTGGTGATTGCTGAGTACTCCTTTTGTGTTTTAGTGCCAGGACCCCAGCTCCTCCTACAAAGCGCCGCCCCCCATTATTCCACCCCACCCTGGCTGTTAGTATCCTCCTCAAACTCAAAAGCTACCTCTCGCATTGAGTCTTCCTCAACTCCTCATGAATGGAAGCAATCCTTCCTGTTCCGAATGAGTAGGGGTCTTATGTCTCTGATATGTTCTGTCTACCAAATATTATAGCTATTTTATCTCAGTAAATATTGGTTGTACCTATTTTTTTGCAGAACTATGTTAGGTGTTGGGGATCAGGGCCTGACATACATTCTCTACTCTTGAAGAGGTCACAGCTTTCAGGAATATATAACACATTTCACTGTAATCCAGGTCCGATGGCCATACTGTTTTCATATAAATGTAAACAATCTGCTTTGGGCACATGCAATTGGAAGGGGCTGCAAATTAATCTCCAGAATGATGAGAAAAAGTTTCATACCAAATGCAACGGGCAGATTTTGTCTGGATCTTGATTTGAATGAACTGATTATAAAAAGACATTTTGAGACACTTAGGAAAAAGTGAATATGGAATAAATATTAGGTGTTATTAGGGAATTGTTAATATTTAGGTTAATAATGGAATTATGGTTAGGTTTATTTTTTAAGTGCTTATCTATTAAAAATACATACTGAAGTATTTTCAGATGTAACAATATAATATCTGAGATTTCCTATAAATTATTCCAGACAAGTAGGGGAGGAGGGAAGAGATAAAATAAGAATGACAAGTGCTGATAATCGCTGAAGCCAAGATGGTTGCATTAGGGCTCCTTACACTATTCTCTTTCTTTTATGTGTTTGAAATTTTCCATAATCAGGACATTTTAACTGGTCTCCCAGGTAGACTGTCAGCTTCTCTGGGGCCCACACTGTCTGGTTCATCTTTAGACCACCAGTCTCTAGCCAGTACCCAGGACTGTATTTTTCAGGGTCATGCACAATAGTGAGTCAGGATAGCAATGCACCACTGAGGCAATGCTTCTGGGGTGTATTTTCTTCTGGTTCAATTGCTTCTGCCTGAGACCCTGACAGGAGGCCGAAGGGGAGCAGGACAGGGAAAGCTCCCACATCCTGTTCTATAAAAGGGAAACCGAGACCCAGAGCAGGGAAATGGGGTCTAACACGTAATTGTTGACAAGAAAGCTCAAGGATTCCTCCTGCCAGCCTGGAGTGCTAGTTCCCTGCAAAGTAAGGAAGTCAGAAGACCTGGGTGAAGCCCCAGCTCTGCTCTGACTTGCTGTGGTCCCCTGGACGAGTCACTTCCCTTCTTGAGTCTCATCTGTGACATGAAGGACTTGGAGAAAACCATTTTGCTTACCCCTGGCCCTGCCGCCTGCACTTACCACACGGTGTGATGGTCTGAGAAGATGTCTTCGGGCTGGAAGATCTCACCATCATAGTAACAGGGGCACTGGGCCTTGGGCACACAGTCTCCCCTCTCATCCAGGTAGAGCCCTGGGGGGCAGAAGCAGCCCTCCAAGCAGACCTCGTTGCATTCCTCGTCCGGGTGGGACAGGGAGCGGCAGGTCAGGTTGCAGGGGATCCCACACTGCAGGTACACCTGGCCCTGCGGGCAGCTCAGCGCTGGGAGAGAAGCAGAGGGAAACATTAAGATAACAAGGACTATAGTTTAGGACTTGGGGTGTCACCCCTGACAGCTTTAATCCCCCAATTAATTATATCTGTATGGTCACTGCCTTCCTTTCCCACTATGAGCAAAAGCGTATTTCTATGCTCGCAAATGTCTGCTATAGTTAGAGATGCCCACGTTGTCTCTGCCTAACCAGCAGGATCAGCTCGGTTGTCTCTGAATTCTCAAAACCTAGTAGAAATCCTGGTGGATGGCAAAGCTGTGACTATTAACAAGAACTAGGAGTGATAAGCAAAGGTATTTCTCTCGTGATCATAATAACAACAAATGGCAACCATTAATTGAGCACCTACTGAAGCTCTTGCTCTTCACACAGATTTTATGCTTTTTATGCCTCTCTCAGTGAGTTAGATCTCATAACCCCCTTTCTACAGGTAAGAAAACTGACACTTAAGCTAAGGAATTTGTGAGGGTCATGCCTCACAGAAAGAAGCAGAGGCAGGATTTGAACCTAGCTTCCTATGACCGAAAAGCTCTTAATCATTATACTCTAAAAAAAAAAAAAAAATCCCTCAGGAACCATGCTGTTGAAAACATGCCAGTCACAAAGAGCAGGGACACTCATACCTACCCCAGCAAAGCAGGCAGCATCCAACCACCCACAGCCCTCACTCTCCCTGGCCTCCCACATAGCACAACAGGCAAAAGCTGAAAGGAAGCGTGACAATGTGGCAAAGCAGCTAAGAGAGGGGATCCGTATCCCAAATTCCTGGGTTCAAGCCCCAGTTCTGCCATTAGTTAGTGATGTGACTTTGAGCAGTTCCCTCCCTGGAATACAATAACACTACCCACCTGGGTGGGTGCAAAGGTTGTGAGCTAACACGTTTAGAGCGATGCCCAGCGTGTGGTAAACGTTCTCTGCTGTTGTTACATTCTAATGACTGGGGAAACACAGCCCCAGCTCAGCAGGCTCCAGGTGAGAGGGGTGTTCCAGGCAAAGGTTTGGGCCTGAGAAGAACTTGCCCTCCTAGATTCTGGCCGACACATAACCCACTTTCTGTGCTCACAGAAGTCTCATGAGTACCCCCACGGTGAAACGTTTTACTGGGAGGCGTGAAAAGCAAAATGCTTTCCTGTTGCTGACCAGCTGTTATCTGAGAAATAAGAACCTCACTCTGGGGACACGCCTCCTGGGACCATTAGAATCCTTCCCTTCCCTGGTGCAATACATTTCTACAGTGAAACCCACTGACAGTGCATTTCAGAGACACTGTGAAAGGAAACCCTGCTCTAAACCTCAGAAATAGGGTCAGAGGTCCTCTGGAGAGCCCCTGCAGCCCTCCCCTCCTGCATCTGCTCTGGGCTTGGTATTTGAAAGTAGCTGGGGGACAGAGGGGGCTCTCTAACCATATTAGACATGAACCAGAAGAGGAGTTGGGTCACAGGATAAATATTTAGAGAAAGGATTAAGATGAGGCACATTGGGCAACAGAGATGGAAAACCCCTTCAATCCATTGAATCCATGGTGATGAGGGCACATTTCACCCACTAAGGAGCAGCTGGACCTGAGAGCTTTTACTCTCTGACAGACTGTCTCTGGAGCTGGCTGGGAGCCACATTAAACTTTTCCTGTGGCCTACTTCCCCAGAAGAAGTAATGCACATCTCAGTTTACCAGACGCTTAGTGTGCTCCCACCAGGTGCCAGGGGCTGTGCTCAGCGTAGGGATGCAGAGATGGTGAGACTTGGCCCCTGCCTTCAAGGAGCCCATAGCCTTGTCTTCCCAAAGGGAACAACCAATTTATAAGAAAAATATGTGCATCTGTCTCCCAAATCTCCTCACAGCATCCCACAAAGTAGCTACGTGATGGGTCCATGCTCCATGAGTGTCCCTGGTTGATGACCTCTTCTGGATGGAGTCAGTGGTTGAGGGAGCTCTGTTTATTTCTCAGAAAGGAAAATGAGAAACAGAATGAACCCAGGAGTCCTACCCACCCTCCTTGGGCTCACAGGAACAGCCCAAGGCCATCTGGCCGGCCTTTTCTCTGGTTCACCTTCACACAAAGCCATAGAGACAGACCCCTTTTGTCCTTAAAAGTCTCTGGACACCACCCTTTCTGCTGTATCTTAAAGCCTCAGGAGTCTGAACTCTAACCCAGTCTCAGTCCCTGATGCTGCTGTGTCAGCCCATTTCCTTTTGTTCTCTTCTCAGTGAAGGTTAAGAACAGCTGCTCCTAGGAGATTAAAATATATTTTGGTAAGCTCTCAGCATTCTGGGAGAATATCCCAAACTAGGAAATCCCTTGGTTCTACAGCACACTGATAACACACAATTTCTAATACTGGTGGACAAGCAAAGCAAATTCATAAACAGTGTGTCATTTACCCCTCATTACTTTCCCTAATTTCTAAACAGCAAACACTGATGAGGACCTGAAGTCTGGAAGGATGAAGTAAAAGGCTCAAGGTCACATACCTAGAAAGTCACAGGCAAAGAGCCAACAAGCTTTCAGCCTTAGTTCTTCCAGCTGCTAACTCGTGACTCTCTATGTCATCCCAGAGCTTAGAGGGATGGAGGACACAACTGTATGGATCTGCATGTTTGTTCCCTTTCATCCTTACGTGTGTCTCTGCTCTCTTTTCTTTATGAGATCGCTCAGACTAGAAACATGAGTAGGCCTCATAAACACCAAATGATGACACTTCTAGAGCCCCCATACCTAAAACTTGCTTCAAATACATGATATTAAGTCCTTTTAACATTTCTCATGGCTCTTATTTTCCTACTTCTGTCAGGACCACCAACATTTTGGTCTCCAAACACATCTACCTAGCCTGAAAAATCAGAATATCCACTATACTCTATCCTCCCGGAATACCTTCCTCACAACTACACATCACTGCTACTATTCCACCATCAGAAACAACTCTTTTCTGCCAAGAAAGTGGCCTTTAAGAGCTAGTCAGGTGCCACCTCCAGAAGCCTTCCCTGGTTGCCCCTGCCTTGATCTGATTATCCGTTCACTCGGTGCGATAGGCACCTAGTAGGGAAGCAGTTTCCATCTGTGCCTCAAAAAGGAAGAGTCAGGCTCTACATCACTGACATTGCCTGACCACACCGGGCACTCAGTAAATGTCCCTAGAGCAATGACAATAACAACAAAAAGTAAACACAATCCAGCCACTCCGGACCAGAGCATGGAGTAGATTCCAACTCTGGTGCCACAGACCTAACAGGGCTCCAAAGTCAGCTAGGAGTAATGATGTCACTCATTTGATATACTTTACATAACTCTGTACAAGGCCCAATATTTGGGCCAGGAGTCCACCAACTTGTTGGACTGTTAGCCTGAAGTTAAGAACAAAGGATTGGTGCGTGCATTTCCCATTGCTTTCACCAGCCCCTCGGGGGCGCAAGGACCCGCTCACTTCATAGTCTGGCTGTACATGAAGCCAACACTAGGTGGCAGCAGCCACAGGAACGCTCTGCTTGGCAGGGACACCGAGGTTCTAGGCCTCCGGGTAAGGGGGTCCTATTTGCCCTCCTGGAAAAGGCCAGAGTAGCCAGACCGTCCTATGGGTGAGCCAGTCCCCGCCCCGCTCCCCCGCACCATGTCCTGCTGGGAGATGGGAGGGGACAGTGGCAAATAAACCGTTCTCAAAACCCATGCTTGTCAGATGCCTTGGGCCTGTCTCCCAGTGCAAGAATGCACAGGCAGTGCTTTGCAAAGGACAAGTGCGTGAGATTGCGGGCATCCGCAGCAGATTCAGTCAGGTCGCATGGAGGCGGCGGCGGGCAGGGAGGGCACCCACCACAGAAGCTGGGCTCCCGCCACGCGACGTGCACGCCCTTCCGGGCACAGGCGGCGGCGTAGTTGGCCACCGCGTTGCACAAGCAGTCCCTGCCGTTGGAGCAGGAGCAGACATCGTAGTGACAGTTCTGCAGGTAGGGCAGCGGGGCCACCGCATGGTGGCAGGCTTCGAACTTGGAGGACGTCAGAAGAGCGCAAGCCTCCTCCGCGAACTTGGCTGTAGGGGGTAAAAGGGGAGAGACAGCGAGCTGGGCTTGGCCCGGGGCCCACACAGCCTGGGTGCTGCGACCCCAGGAGCCAATGTCGGCTCCTGCTCTGAAACTCCCTTTCTAGATTCTCCCTCAGCAGCACATGCCGCAAAAACAACTTCTCTTGGCTGTGGGTATCATTGAGATTTATCTTCCACAGCCAATGTACTTTCCTAATAACATTTGGCTTAAATACATAATAATAAGCCTCATTTCCAGAGCACACCCACTGACAGAAGGGAGAAATAGTTCCAGGATGCGTTAAATCTGCAAATGGCCACCCCAGTGCATTTATCTGAAGATATGTTAATTCTGAGTTTGGATGGCTGCTGCTCCAGCAGACTGAGAAAGAAGGTCCAGAGGCAGGAACTATGTACTATTCTTTTCTCTCCCAGGGTTTGGCACACGGAGGGATGCTCAAGAAAGAAACTTTGAAGAATAAATGATCCAGATGCAGATAATCAAATGTTGGTGGTAAAAACCAAGCGCCCCCCTCCCTTGACGGTGGGTGCCCTGTCCCATGGAATGCGCTGGAAAGTGGGAGACCTCAGGGCTGCCCCGCCCCTGCCCCCGCCCCCCACCACATACTCAGGCGCGGGTTGAGGATGCACGGGTCGCTGGGCTGCTTCCGCAGGTCCTCACAGTCCCCGTGCAGCTTCCAGGCGTTCCCAAAGTCCTCCACCAGGGGCTCCACCAGGCCCGCGGGGGTGCGGAAGTCGTCGCCCTTGTTGCCATTGTAGTTCCCACACAGGCCGCACATCCTCCCCGCGTACACTGGGGACAGCTGCGGGGAGAGCAGGCCACCTTGGAGCAGCTGCCGCCAGAGCAGCCACAGCTTCCTTTTGCTAGTGAGATGGTTTTAATCAGAAACGTTCACTGGGTGACAAATGAATATGAATTTAATAAACCGCAGCTAAGCCCCAGGCTGCGGAAGAAAGAAAAAAGCTAACTGCAGTATCGTTTACCACCAGCTCCATCCCGGCTCTTAAATCATTAGAGTCAGAGAGAGACCTGTTGTGCTAGAAGGGATTTTAGAGGTTATCCAGCCATTTTTGATGGTGACTCTGAGTCCCAGAGAAGGAAAACGACTTGCCTGAGGTGACAGAGCTGGGACTAGTAGCCAGGTTGAGCAAGCCCTAGCAAGCGTGCTCTCTGTCACCCTGGCAGGTCTGAGCAGATTCTCCCGGACCAATGAGCCCTGACACCCATGGGAATCAAGTGCAAAGTCAACATCCCTTTCCTGAATATTCACATCAGTCACACACGTGGGCGAAGCAGGCTGTCAGTTATGGTCCAAGTCCTCTCAGAGTTCACCTTTGTGACAAAGAACACCTTCCTAACTCTCTATATTTAACTCAGCCTCTGAGCATCATTGAGGAGACAAGGCCAGGAGCCAAGAGAATTCTAGGGGTTGTGATTGGGGGAGGTGGGGTTAGCGAGGACTCTGGGGCAGTCTGCCAGGGGTGACCAGAGGGGTCTTGGGGTCAAACTCCAGGCCATCAGCATGTGTCATTCTCCATCTTTCAGAGCCCAAAGTACACACTCGGGGACAACTTAGGGAGTCACGCCTCCTGTCTCGCACGCAGCACACCTGGGGGCATTTGCTGGCCTCTGTGGCTAGTGCCCTGGTTAAAAGACAGAGCAGGGCGGAGGCCCCAGAGCCCTGCCGCCTGCTGTGCATGTAATGAATATCGCCTGGTGACTTCTCTGTGTTCTGAGACCCTCAGTGCTTGGCCTGGGGGTCTCAGCTGACCTCATCCAGCTTCTAGCTCTGACTCAACAAGATGCAAGATGAACAATCTACTGGACGGTTCTGGATCCATATAAAATGTTCCCAAGTAAATATTGTTAATGAGAAAGAGGATGGAGTAATGTTTCCTTGTTTATCTTGCAAATATCACCTTAGCTGGCCAGGCCCTTCCCTGACCTCCCTATTTAAAATGTGACCCCTCCCAATCCTGGCACTTCCTCTCCCCTTCACGGCTTTATTTATCTTCCCAGGATTTATCACCTTCTAATATATGATATAATTTACTTGTTGGTTTGGTTTATTGTCTGTGTCCCCCCATTAGAATTTAAATTAAATGAGGTGAGGATTCTGTTCGGTTTCACTGTTGTAACCACAGCCTCTCTAATGGTGAGGATGTGTTGAAGAAATGAATAGTTGAACAAATAACTAAACAAATCTGTGAATGAATGAGGTTCTCCTTTGGACACAGGCTGAAATGCAATGGCAACAGTCAAGGCCAGCCCCGAAGAAAGCAGCAAAATTGGTGATGACTCTTCCCCCTCACCCCCGTCTCAGCATCCACTCTCCAACCCTCACCGACCCCGCCCAGGCCTGCCTTTGCTACCATCCCCAACTCTCTAAAATAATATCTTCTTCCATCCCCTCAGCTTATCTCAGGGGTCAGCTTGCCCAGTATAGATGAGTGGGTGTATCTGTGGAGGCCAGGCCAGGTCAGGCCACCAGCCCTACATCAACCCATCAGGGACTTAGAGAACGTGCTTGCTATTTGAAATAAATCTCAGATCAGTGACACTTCTGACAAAGCGAAGACTGTCAGGGGGTCCTTTCTACGCCGCTCTACCTAAGGCTGAGCTGGGCCCTGCGTCCCAGCCATCGGAGCCCTGCTGCCTGCACTGCCCAGCCCTCAGGGACCCATAACTCCCTGGGGGGAAGGAGAGCAGGGAGCCCCTGCAGCACCTCACCAGCCTCCTCTCAGGGTGAGTGCACTCGGCCTGCCCCTCCCAGTGTCCTGCCTCCCACTAGTGTCCTCCACTGAGCAGCCCCCACAAACCCCAGGGGTCAGCGCAGTGATGCCCCTGCCTCCTGACCCATCCACAAATGCTTCCCTTCCTCCTCCAGTCTAAAACACAGAGCACATTCCCACAGCCACGAGGTCATCTGCTTCTGTCCTGAATCTTGACCAATGAAGTCCTCTTCTTGTTAGCTAAATGGACTAAAACCCACCCCCAAAGACAACCCCGCATCCCATTCCCACAGAAAGAAGTCTTCCCATCTCTTCTCAAGAGAGATACAAAATGCAGAGAAACCTGAGGACAGCCACCCCGATGTTGGGGGCCTGCTGACTGAGGGAAGAAATCGCACGGATCGGGAGTACCCTCTCTGGGACAAGGGAGGTTCCTGAGAAAGTGGAATGGCTCATGGGGGTGGGGGGACATCTCCCTGGAAGACCAGCATACCGAAGGTGACACTGGAGACCCGAGTTCCAGGCTTCACTCTGTAACCAAATGGCTATGTGAGACCTGAGGCAAGGCACTTTCTTGCTCTAAAAATTATGGATCTTTTTTTCCAACTCTAAACGAGAGGTTAACAAGAAAACCTCCTCGTGCTCCACGGTCTGTGGTCATTAGGTTAACTTTTTTATCAAAGAAAAATGGTAGTTAATTTGGAACTCTCTCAGGGACTTTAAAACAAGAGGAAGAACATGACATCATAAGGGTAGAGGAAATCGGGGTCTCATCAGGGACACCCCAGATGCCCATCACAGGATTACACCAAAAACACTGTGAAACATGGGACCCAGGGACATAGGAGGGGACTCTCTGGGGATCCGAGGAATAATCTAAGGCGGCGAGTCTCAAAGGGTGGTCTTGGGACACATGGGGGGTTTCCGAGGCCTTTTCAAGGGGTCCCACAAGGCCAAAGCTATTTTCATAATCACACAAAGTGTTATTGGGCTCTCTCCCTTTCATTCTCTTACAAGTGTGCGGTGCCATTTTCTGGAGGCTACGTGACATGTCATATGGCAAAAGACTGAACGCAGAAATGGACGTGAGGCTTCGGCTATCTCCTATTAAGCCAGCCGTGATAGGAATGTGCAGACTTGTAAAACAATGATATTCTTCTCAATACTTACTTTTGTTTGGGAGAACAGTTATTTTTCCAAAATAAGCGGGTTAATTATTGTCATTTCTAAATGAATTCATAAATATGTATTTAAATGTCTCTGATTTAACAGATAATCTGGTAAACATCTGTAGATATAACCTTCATAAAAGATTCGGGATCCTCAATCATTTTTAAGAGTGCAAAGGCACCCGAAGACCAAAAAGTGAGAGGCACTGGTCCAGCGGGAAGGACGCCACCAGAAAGCTGTTCCAGTTCTGCCACCAGTCGGTGCTCAGTGCGGAGCATGTCTCCCAACCCCCCTGAGCCACGGTCTTTGTAAAACAGCAGTGACAATACCTGCGAGGGAAATTTCCAGAGAAAAACGTATCTGGAAGCCCTGAGAGCAGACGCTCACTCTCCGGTGTGACTCCAGGACCACAGAGTACGAGGGGAGTGGCCCTAGACGGCAGAGGCCCAGAGCCCAGGGAAGGGATCTGGTGGTTCCCAGTGTGACCCTTACCAGGCAGCGGGACAGTTTCATCCCCCAGAAGTGCACGACGCAGTCTGGGCTGTGAGTTCCAATCTGACTCTTCCCGTGCTGCCCCCAGGGACACCCCAGGGACACCCCTGCTCCCAGGCCTGTCGCAGCCAGGAGGCTGAACAGAAAATCTGGCCTTCCCAGCCCCTCAGGAATCCACCTCCTCTAGAGGCCTCAGGGATGCCAGAGCCCCAGACCTGAGAACCCTTGGGGCAAACAAGGGGAGCCCAGACAGCCAGCACCAGTCTCTCACAAACAAGAGGGGCTTGTTCCTCCCTCTGCAGGCATGGGCGCTGGGAGAAAGGAATCCTCCCACACACAAGGCCGCTCTGCCCAGAGCACAAGGGGTACTCTGTAAGACCAGGCTGCAGCGAGGCAGCGCTCAGGAGGGGCCTACCTTCACCAGCAGCCTCCCTCGGCCGTCCCAGTCCACCTGCAGGTCCTCCCCATAGCTGAGGCGCACGGAGGCCATCATGGTGTGCTGGATGCGAAGGTCACCTAGAACGAGGCAGGGGCAGGGTTTAGGCTGAGATGGGGAGAGGGCAGAGTGGTGGCAGGCAGATGTATCGTGGAGAGAGATTGGGCGTCTCACAAGGCACTGTACCAGTGAAAGCAATCAGGTGTGGGAAAGATGGAGATGTCCATGAACCTTAAGGGGGTCTCAGGAGGAAGGGTGATCAGGATGGGTATACGGCAAATAAGGTTCCCCTAGAAGCCGGCTGCAGCCTGCCATTCCCCATACTGCCACAAGAGGATGGAAGAGGCTTGTGCATTCTTAGCTTGGGACAATGCCCTGTACAACACTTCCAGGCTGAGTTAGTCAGTCCTCGAGCCTGAACAATGCTGTCTACAAAGCTGATACAGCAGTTCTTGCTGGAGATGAGGTAGGAGGCATACTTCCTGCCCTGGAGAAATGTATCATCTCAAGGGGAGATGTACACAAACTTAAACACACATGGACTGGCCCAGGCTCACCCAATGTGTGCAATGCCAGGATAATGGACTATGGGGTGGCCAGCAGTCATGAAGAAGAGGAAAGGGGTCTGAGAGCCGCTTTGAGAGTGATGGTTGAGATTATGCTGTGCAAAATGGCACTCTGCAGCCTGTCAAAGTCGCTGGACAGGTAGGTTTTCCCCACAGGTCACAGGGTCAGTCACCTGGCTCGTCCCATGACATCCTGGGGTCTGACTCATCACCAGCCACATACTCCCAACCTCTCAGCATCAGCTTCTGATGCTTTCCCATCCCAAAGTAAAACCAGAACTGCCATGCCCAACCCTTAACTCGCCCCTTTGGCTCAAGCCAAGTGAAAATCCTCTTGGTTCTCTTTCCCCTCCATGCTCTTTCCCAGGCCTGGGCATTTTCCTCATCTCCGGTGTCCGGCCATCTTCTTCCACTTGTCCTCTTTCTCCAGGAAGCCTTCCTTTCTTGCAGAAATGCATGCCAAGGATACCCAGCCTGCCCTCCAAAGACAGCATTCCCCCACATTTCTATAGAAGAGGCGGCAGTGAGTACTGTCGAGGGTTGGGGCGCTGTGGGTGAGCTGGGCCGGCCAAGCCTGTTGGGGAAGGAGGGACCCACCTTGCAGGAGGGGGATCTGGATGTCCTGGCCGTCCACGGCAACCCCTCCCCCATGCTTCAGCTTCACAAGGTTGCTGTGCGGGCTGGGCAGGCGGACAGTGACTGAGCGGGTGCAGACAGCATCGGGGTCATCAGCACACTGCCAAGAGGGGCAGGCAGAGTAATGTCACCACGCCCCGCCATCCCAGGACCCACTGACTCAGAGAGAGAGACCCCATCCACAGGCAGCCTCTGGCCTTCTCACATGGAATCCATTCCCACAGGCTGATCTCTGCAATGGGGCCCCCTGGAGTTGTGCAATGAGAAGGCCCCATGCCCAGCTCTCCCCGCTGCCCGACTTCGCGTGGCTCCCATGCCCTTTCCCATCCTGGTCTGGTTCCTTTTATAAGGAACAGCAAGCCCCTGGCTTGTCTCGTTCCTTGGGCTTATTCTTCCAAAGTGAATCAGAGACTTTGATCCTCAGGAGGAGCCCTATGCACTCTGTCTGTCCTCACCTTGGCCTTGTTCTCTGGAGAGAGAAGTATACACGTGAACACAGCAGCTCAGTGGAGATGGACCACCTCGTCCCATCCCATCCCCCGTCAAGCTGCCTCCTGACGCAGCACCTGGCAGAGCTCACCTGCACAGTCTCTATGACAATGGAGAAGGAGTGGTCTTCGCAGTCCCGGGCCAACAGGTACTGGCAGACCCCACTGAAGGTGAAGTACCTGTCATCAAAGCTCTTGAAGTGGGACTGTCCTGTGACAAGACACTCTCCTGCAGGGCACAGAGGAAGGGGGAAGAACAGGAGGAGTGGAGTGGCCGAGATGGAAGTCTGCACCTAAAAATGAGTTCTACGAGGAAACTAAGTCAAGCCCCATTCCTAACACTGTTTGATCATTCATTTCAATCCCATTTTATCAAGGGGGCAACTAAGGGAAGTGACAGAGCCATACTTAGTCAGTGGCAGAGCTGGGACCAGAACCTGCAGCTCCTGGCTCTTAATTCACCACGGTTCCCAGTTCCTCCCCACAGCTGCTCCCACGGGTTCTGGCTCCACTGGGGCCCATTGCCCAGAGACTGCAGAGTGCTCGGCCCCAGGAGAGGTCCTTCTTTGCAACGGCATTGTAGGGGCTCCAGGACACGGCCCCACCTAGGAGAGTCCCTGAAGGCAAGTGGGCAGAAAGGCCAACCTGGAGGGCTGATGAGAGAGGGGTGAGGTGGGGTCCTCTCCAGCACCACAGTGCAGAAGCCAGAACCTCATCCTCACCCCTTCAGCTGAAAGGCAGCTCTAAGGCCACCTCATGGGCAAGTCCATGCTGTGACTTCAGTCATACCAGTGGGGGGCCAGGAGGCCATTTGCTTATGATCTCACCACTGCCTGAGCCAGCAACCCAGCCCAAGCTGACACATCTTTGGGTGGGCACAAGAACTCCCCTTCATCACCCTACAACTCAGAGCCTTCAATTCACACATGCCCCCACCCCCACCCAACAGCTACTCCATCCTCCCCTAAGCCTCGAGCTGCTGACCCAATGCACCTTGAACCAGAGATCACACATCCTGGAAAGCATCCATGCAGAGGAGTCTCTACTGTTGTCTCCAGTAACCCCCCCACACTGGCCCCACCCCAGCTTAGGGCAACCCCATCTCCAAGGCCCACAATGGATCCATTGAAGCTGAAGCAGGCATTTGGGGTCCTTCTCTACCTCCCTTTATGTATTTCCTCTCATCTTTGCCTTCTGTTCTATAGTAAAATATAGACACACATCATGGCCATTCCACAAAGTAGGGAGCCCTCATTCCCCACCTAGACACCTCTGACCTCCCAGCAGCAGAGACTCGTTCTCCATCTCACTAATCTAGTCTAAACCTGAAGTTTCCCCAAAGAGGGTCCTACAGCCAGTCCCACCTGGGCCCATCTCCAGAAGCTGGTGCTGAGCCCTGTCACACAGTCAAGGGGTCCCCAAACGTCACAGGGAGATTCCAGCTGCCCATCTGTCAAGGGCAAGGTCCACAGGCACCCACTGCCTGCCACCTCATACCCATATTTGCATTGAAAGTCACAGTCAGGGGCCAGATCACAAAGCTTTGGACCCAGGGATGGCCCTCCTTTGGTGTGTGTTGGAGAAAGAGGTCAGGGTGCATAGCCCAGGTTATGATAAGTGTCCCTCTACCTAGTCCCCAGGGCAGCTGACCCCTTCTAGGACAGCACAGGTCAGAAGGGCACACTCAGCCCAGAAGAACTTAGGAGAAAGTAGGGAGGCCCAAAACCATGCTCAACAGCATCACCTTCTATAATAAGAAATATATATTTGGTCTTTGTCTCTGGTTCCTGACACAGAGCTTCTAAAACTCTTGGAATAGCCTAGGTGATAGGAGCATCTTTTGTTCTAATGAAGCCACCTTTAGTGGGTCCCTACAGAGCTTCAGAGACCAAAGCATGATTATAGAGGGTTGGAACTTTCAACCCCACCCCCAGCCTCTGAGAGGGGAAAGGGGCTGGAGATTGATTTACTAATCAGGCATGCCTACATAATAAAACCTTCAGAAAAACCCTAAAGCAACAGAGTCTGGAGTACTTCCAGGTTGGTGAACAAATCTATATGCAGGAAGGTGACACGCCCCAACCCCACAGAGACAGAAGCCCCTGCCCTCAGGACCCTTCTGGACCTCGCCCTAGATAGCTCTGCTTCTGGCTGCTACTCTGTATCCTTTATAGTGTCCTTTGTAATAAACTGGCAACAGTAAGTCAAGTGTTTGCCTGAGTTCTGCCAGCCATTCTGGAAATTACCGAACTTGAGGAGGGCATTGTGAGAACTCCCAAGGTGCAGCCAAATCAGACAGAAGTGGGTCCGCTGAGGACCCTGTGCTTGTACTAGCAGTCCTGTGGGACCGAGTCTTTAACCTGCGGGGTCTGCGCACACTCGGAATAGTTAGTGTCAGAACTGAATTGAATCGTAGGACACTAAGTTGGTGTCCAGAAAGTCACACACAGTTGGTGTCGGAAGTGCTGTGAATAGAAGTAAAGAGATTATTCCTTCCCACCGCATTGCCCTTGAGGGGGCGAGAGTGAGAGATCACTGTTCTTGGAAGTCAGAGCAGAACAGGCAATGAGGAAGGGGCCAGGTGATCGTGAATATGCTGGAATCCCAAATCCACGGATGCCACGGGAAAGCCTTTTTTAAACGGCTATTTCTCAGAAACCACCGTAATTCTACAAACAGTGATATGGTCTTTCATGTCAAAAGTCTTGACCCTGTTGCAGTAAAATTTTTCCCCCAACTTTCTGTGTTTTCTCAAGAGCACTCTTATCTGAGTAAGAAATTGGACTTCCGTTATCTTCAACAATGCCCAGGAAAAGAGGGTCAATGAAAAAATGTGCAAACATTCGAAAGCAAAACTTTCAGGGCTAGAATCTAATCCTCTGATCTGATTTCCTGCTCTGGTCCCTACTGATTTGTGTTCCAAAATGTCTCAGGAATCAGAACTCTAATTATTTCATTTAGCTTATCTCCTTGGTACAATTGAGGGATAGAGCTGCACGCACAGGAAACCCAGGGACCTGGACGGGTCAGCTGCTAGGTAGCAGTTGGCCCTGGGAGCTGGAACATCAGCCAGAACAATGGGCCACATGGCAACATTCACCCATCCTCTACCAGGGGCCCACCCAAGACATTCCCAGTCAATTGGTCAGTCAGCAAAAGGCAGCCATCAGCAAACAGCTGGCCCACCACCAGACAGAGAAGGTGGGCGATAAAAGCTTGGTGACTGAGTAAAAAGCAGGTGATTCTTACAAGAGCAATAAAAAGTAGAACATCCAAAAGTTAAAGCAGATTCACTATGTGAATAAAGATGTTCCCTCATTTAAAAAAAAAAAAAAAAAAATCTCATCTGATGAAACACATTACCTCTTCTAAACAAACCCTTTTGTTTGCAATAAGGGAGCCTCCATGGGCTGCTCTGCTCAGCTCATTTGCTTCCATTCTTTTCCAGACAGCTTCAGAAATACCAGCCCACAGACCTTTAGCAAAGCAACTCAGACTTCCTCCCGTTGTAAATATTCACCAAAGCCTGCCTCTAAATCACAATCACATAATCCCGACCAAATGTGCAAGGTGCATTTCAAAGTGCTCTGTGGGTACCATCTCATTTACTACTCCCCTGAGCTGGTCATTTTTATTCCTAGTTTGCAAATGCAGAAACTAAAGCACAGAGAAAAATTCGCCCAAGGCCTCAAAGGATTAAGACAAGGATTTTCACATGGGCAGCTGTCTGGCTCCAAAGCCCAATGCACTTGACAGCACCCAAAACTGCCTCATGGGTCAGCTCCTGCAGTTTCTCATAAAGCCTGATTTTGTGAAGGCCAAGCCTGATGTCATTCTGGCCCAGGGCACATGTGGGCAGCTGGGTCTGGATTTGGAGACTGAGCAGAGGAAAGCTTTGGCTATGAATGGTGATGTGCTGGCCTGGCCTGACGGAGGCGTGAGCCCAGTCACCCCAACCTGGGCTGGGGCAGGCCACAGGAGACTCCATGGTGCCTAGAAATGCTTGTTCTTACTGGAGAGGCATCAGCCCTGCTTTACTCCCCGTTTTTGTTAGCCGAGAAGGAAGTTTATCTTCCTTCCTGGAGGCTTTCAAAACAGGCAGCTTGAATCCCAAGGTTGAATGACAGGGCTATGCTAGAATGCATTAGAAATTACCCCAAACCAAATGAGTAACAAGTGTACCAAGACCCTACCCTTCCCCTCCAGACCAGGCATGTCCACAGGCTTCCCACACTGCCAAGCCCAAGGTAGGCTTGGCTCTGTCTCACGCTCCAGCCTAGCCCGCCCCGCCACACCCTCTCTCACACCACCCCTCTCCATTCCAGGCTCCTTTGGGCATGGACCTGACCTTGCTTGATGAAATAGCTGTGGCTGTGAAAATGAAAACAGTGAACATTTATTGAGTGTTTGCTGTGTGGCAAGTCACAACAGCTTCCCTGGGATGAAGCTGCTGCTGTTATATCCCTATTTTACAGATTAGGAAGCTGAGGCTACAAATGATTAAGCAGTTTGCCAAAAGTCATCCAGCCAGGGAGTGGTGGAAATGGAATTTCAGCCAGGCTGTCTGGGTCCACAGCCCGTGCCCCCAGCTCTAGTGCTATGCTGCTTCCTTTCCACTTACAAGAGCAATCTTTTGTCCTTCGTACTTCCTTCAAGAATTGCACAGAAGGCAAACTGGTTGGCCATCCCTGGGCCACATTGATTGACCTAACGCTAGTGCTCATTTTCCATCTAGTTCCAGAATTTCCCCAGTATAGCAGGTACTGAGTAAGGTTCTAAGTGACCCTAAATCCATAGACCCCAAATATGATCCCAGGTATTCAAGCTCAACCCCCTACTAGCCCACCAAAGCCAATGTGACCTCTTGGGGCCACAGGGAAGGAAGCCTCTTATCTGGCTGTTCGTCTTGCAATTTTTTATTGCACTCTACAAACACGGGAACCCACAAAGTAGTATCTACCATGTGGGCTGAGGCTGAACTGGTCTTTAACTAAATGTGGGGCCCCTTCTGAGCTCATGAGGGATGGCAAGGATCCTCCTGCAAATGAATGAATCAAGGACTAGGAGTAACTAGGAGCAACAGAAGGTCAAAAGCAGAAGTCAGGCAATTGTGAATTTGAGTCCTGTCTCTGTTGCTGAGCTGCTGTGTGACCCAGGGCAAGTTATTTAACCTCTCTGGGTCTGTTTCCTCTTTTGTAAAATGAGTATAAATTGTACCTGCCTCATAGGTTGTTGTGAGGAGGTAATACATGTAAAGAGTTTAGCATAGTGCCTAACACATAGCAAACATCACATGAGTAACCACAAAGGGAAAAAGTCATCAGGAGAAGAACTAAGTTCCTTGAGAGATGAGGCAGAAGGGAGCTGCTAATGGGCGAAGTTTACAGTAAATAGAATAGAGTTTAGGGCTAAACAGAGGAGAAGCAAAGGACAGAGATTATTAGACAAGTTTTCCTAAATAGATTTTCCACAGTGGGGACAGGGTAAGAGGAATGATTTGGTGGCCTGATTTTTCTAGCTCTTGGACTATGCCAAGACCTTCATATCAGGCATTCCAGAAAATTCCAGAGATTCTCACTTCAAGCTTAAACAATTACCAGGCCCTTCTTCCTCCTAATTCTCTGAAGAATTTTCATCATCATTGTTGGGTCGATCATGACCTTACAGTTTTTATAGTTCATTTACCCTTAATCCTTTGAGCAAACAGGTGGTGAGAAAAGGACAATAAAACCTTAGTGTGTTCTTCCCTTTCAGCTACTACAGGGCTTCCCTCTGCTGGCTCATGAGTGGGTTAGCACAGTTGGTATCTGCAACCGGACCTGTGGTCAGGGGTTGCATCCAGTTTGTGCAAGAGGCTGCCTTCCCCCTGCCTGGATGTGTGGCCCTCTCAGCCTAGCAAGAGGGGGCACACTGCTCCTTTCAGAGAAGGCAGGGTAAGAGCAGAGGGTTGCCTACCTGGGCATTCTTCATTGCTGCAGATCCACAGGCTATTTCGGCAAATGCTGTTGGGGAGAGAAGCACAGGTCATGGGCAGTTCTGCAAACACAAGGTACGTGAACAGATTTAGAGCTCCCCACAGATACCACAGCCTCCAAAGGAAGGGATCTGGGAGAAGAGAGGAGCTGACGCTAGAGGGGTCTTTATGAAGTTAAGGTATACAGGAAGGGCTTTGGACACAGAGGCATCTCGGAGATAGTGCCAAGGGGAGGAGACCCTGACAGAGAGATAGACAAAACAAAAGCTAGAAGATCCGATGCCCTTACCTAGGCACCATCCCTGACCTGCCTTGCATGTGCACACACACATGCGCACGCACACATAGCTGGTGGAAGAGAGGAAAGGAGAGTTGTTGAAAGAGGTAACACCCAGAACCATATTGGGTGGCCCTTGGAGCCAGCAGGGAAAGCCAGCAAAGGGAAGAGGCCCGGCGATGAAATGAAACAAGGAGTTATTTTCCCCGTGTGCTGGGGACAAGTGAAGTTAGCCAGAGGAAACATCCGGTGGAGCTCCTTGAGGAAACGATTTGAGCTAAACAGAGACAGCGGTCCAGGGTGTGCCTGGCTGACTGCAGAGAGCCATGAAGGGCAGGCCTGCGTGCGTTTCTATGGGCACTGCTGCCTCCTTCCACCTAGTAGACAAATGATCTCAAGGAGAGAAGAATTGTCTGTGGCTTCGACTCTTATAGAGTCCCTCTTCAGGGATACAGTCTATTATGAAAGCCTAGTTTGCAGGGAACGCCAGATACATTGTTTGCATATAAAGAGTCTCTTCCCTCCTTCACCCTGCCTCCTCCGAGCTTATGTATCATGTGATCTTTGTTCCCCATCATTGACTTCCACACCCTTCCCCAAACCACCCTCTCATCTCAACCTCTTTTCTCTCAGCCCAGGCCAGGTCCTGTTCCATCTGCCACTGCCCCTACTGCCCCAGCTTTACCTCAACAGCCCCTAGGCAGCCCTCCCAGACCACACCGCGCAGCCCCAATTACCAGGTGTTGCAGTCTCGCGAGAGGGAGGCGCCTGGAGGGTACCGCTTCCCAGAATGCACACAGGAACACTCGGTACTTTCCACACAGCGGCCTTCGTCAAGGAGCTGTCCTTCTGGGTTCAAGGGCATCGAGGCACAGACTCAGCCTTGTCATCATCATTACTCGACCCACAACCACAGAATCCCCATGGGTGATCATCAACTTAGGGCTTCTTCCCGGAAGCTCAAAGAACTCGTTCTGTGATGTTAACCTTTCACATTAGCTCAATATGAGGGAGGCAGCTGTTAATCTCTACTCTATTGATGAAAAAATGGGGGGAGAGTTCTGTTCGAGGTCTTTCAGTAGGGAAGTCATGAGTCTAGGGCGAGGGCTCCATCCAGGAAGCTCAAAGAATGTGGTGTTTACCTTCCCCATTAACGTAATGAGAGGGAGAGGAAGATAATTCATCTCCATTCTACAGATGAAAAAATCGAGACAAGAGTTTTGCTTGAGGTCTTCCCATAGGGAAGTCATTAGTCAAGGCACAGAGGACTCACTCTTAATAATAACACAGGGTTTCTCACCGAAGCTCACACAGTCTTTCCTTTCTAGCGCAAAGCTCTTTTTCAGTTGAGCTCACATGACAAACCCAGGAAACATTTTAAAATATCTTTCCCCCAGACCAGTTCTCTGACCCTTTACTGAGGAAACAAAACCGCTGCTCAGATCGGGTCACATGCTCCCCAACAAAGTCACCGTTGGCGCCCAGACCCTTCTTCTATTTCCTAGACACACATGCTTTCACGAATACAGTACAACGGGAAAACATGAATTAAAAATAAATACCAGCTCCATCCTGACCACTCTGTATGAAGACTCTTAAAAAATAAATAAAAAGCCTCTGATTTCAGCAAAGGGGAAACAAACACAAGTGGCCTTCATCTGGCTCCCCCAAGCCAAGAGTACTGGCAAGGTCTTGGATTAGTAAATAAAGTGAGAAATTTATTACCAGGGCAGCTGCAGCCATCCACACATTGCTCCTGACATACTTCATTGATGTGAAGGCTCTGGCAGTTTCTGGTGCAAGGAGACACACACTCTTTGTACTCCATGCCAGCAGGGCACGCCGGTCCTGAAACAGAAAGCTCAGAAGTCTACCCAGAGCAGTTACCTCTGTGTAGCATCTCACAAGCCATGCCTCCTTGGTCTGCTGCTTTCTGTTTTCAAGGCCCCAGGTGCCATCTCCACCCCAGTGGTACCCAGTGGCCAATGTCCCTTCCAAGGCTGTCTCACCCAACCACCTCTCTCCTGAAAGAATATTTTCCATCTTGTAAGGCCTGGCTGAGACCCAGCAGAGTCACCTGGGATCACCACCCCTTCTTCTTGGTCATCTGTTCTCTATGAACAATTGGCTTTTTTTCCCCCCTATGCTCTGTCCTTTTCAGCTAAAACCCTCTCAGGGTGATACCAAACTTCTCTAGGCTGAAAACGAACGGCCTCCTGGGGCCAAGCAAGGACTAAACGATGTCTTCATTGCATTCTCCTCTGATGGGCTCTCTTCCTCATGAAACTGGCCCCAATCAAATGCCACACCCAGCACAGGGCACACACCATTGATGCCCACCTCACCCGCATGAGTGACATTCCTTCCATATTTATGTCCACTGTGCTACAGGAGCTTCTCACCTAAGCGTCTGCCCTCCCCACTGGACCCAGCTCCTTGCGGGCAAGGGCTGGTTCTCCTCTCTCTCCAACCCTGTGACTGACAGATGCTCAAGCCAACTGAAGGACCAGAACTCTTATCTGAGTTTCATGACACTAAACAATTGCCCCAAACCCATTCTCCTCCAATGTATATCAGGTGTCTCCCTGCCCTACTGCCAAAGACCTAAAACAAACAAACAAACAAACAAACAAACAAACAAACAAAAAAACAGTCCCTCCACCTCACAGAGAACCCAGCAGCTAATAGCCACCTTTCTCACACCCCACAGCAAAGATGAAAAGCTCTCACTTATAAGCTGGAAAAACACAAACTAAAAAACGTGTGCATAGTGTAAATATTTGGCCAGCTCCATCTCTATCAGTCCATGTGATCTGTGTGATTACTGCAGACTGGCTGTCCATCTGCACGGCTTTGATCCGTGGAAAGTCTGGAGAGAGAGGAGGCTTCTTTCAAAGTGACGGACAAGCTCTTACTTAATCATGATAATTTGGGGTGACAATGATAATGACTAGGAACCCAATGAGATTAGATCAAAACCACAGGCACCATGAGGTGAAGCGGAGGGAAGGGCGAGCATTGGGCCTGGAGGAAAGAAGGCTGATTTAATGAAAGGGAGGAACTTAATAAAAGCCTGCCGGGATCTCCATGGTCCCTCCTCCTCATCAATTCAGACAGGCAGTCGGCAAGGATATTAACTGAAGTTGTCACACTGCTGAGATTCTGGGTGGAGGCAGAGAACGTTTTTGTGTCCAGGGGATGGATTTCCTGAGGGAGTCGTGGGGAACCAGGGGAGGCATGACGTGAGAAGAGAGGCAGGAAAAATGACCACGGGGACCTGGGGAAGGTCTTTCAAGCTTTGCCACAGGCTTTGAAAGAGGGGACTCCTTCTGTGACCAGCACTCTATGACCAGGTGGCAAAGGGCAAGGGCCATGCAGGAACTGGGTCCAGGAATGTGGCGACTTTGCAAGCGCTGGTTGGCTGGGGGTGGTAAAGGCACACGATCATGACACAGACTGAGAGCTTCTCGAGGGACATCCCAGGACAGACACGGCTCTTCCCTAGGCCCAGAGCACCTCCCCAGCTGAGGAAGGCGGGCGGTGACTTACGGCATTCGCTGTGCACGGTCCAGCCATACAACACCATGCCCTGATGGGCACAGGCCCGAGCGTACTCCAGGAGGGCAGCACACGGGCACCTCATGCCCTGGGCACACGTACACAGAGTCGTTTCACACAGGGCCACAAAAGGCTCGGGGTCCACCAGAGGGTGGCAGCGGGCGAACACTGAGGCACTCTTCAAAAGCTGGCACTGCTCCCACAGGCCCTGCAGGAACAAGATGCCACCTCAGTGAGAGCAGCAGCGTGCGGCCCTGGCTCTTCAATGTTTTCACTTACTGTCCCCCTGAGTGGGGCTCTGTGGAGACCTAGTCCTGCTCTAAAAATCAAGGAAGTTCCCTCACACTGAGACAAGTGTCTGGCACCTCATAGGTGCCTATCAGCAGTTATCAAATTAAACAGTCTTTCAATCAGGAAAGAGGAAAGATATTGGACTTATGCAACGTGACGTGTAGCAAGGCTACAGAGTCCTGGAACTGCAGAGTCCAAAGCCCTTGAATGGTGGTGGCAGGCAGTGTCCTCTGAAGGGAAAAAGAGAGAAAGAATAGTGAAAAGAGCACTGAACTTGGAGTTCACGTGGAACCCCACAGGAGGCCATGTGGCCTCAGAGTCCAAGAGAGCGGCTCAGCTTCTGCTTTGCACTGACCTAGTCACCTGTCCTCCCTGACTTTGGTCTTCTACACTATAAGTGAGAAGGCGGGACAAGGAGTTTTATAAAGTAGACATTCCTGGGCCTTTCCCCCAGAGATTAAAATTCAGTATGATGAGGATGGAGTTCAGCAATACCTTTTTTCAAACAGTGATTCCTGGGACCAGACAGGACCAGTTTCCATCAGCAAAAACATGCTAGGATTCTATGAACTATACCAGAGACACTCTGACAGGCATGGGGTATTACCGGGTTTTATCGACTTGCTGATACCCTCAACCCAACAACACAAAGCAGGCTTGGAACTGTAGCATATTAGTGTAAACACTCCTATATGTTATATTTGTAAACGTCTCTGCATTCTGTGTTTTAATGATTCTAAATCTACATCTTTCTTACAGTTTGACATCTCTGAAAGTGGAGTGCGGCTAACAACTGAAATCACACTTAAATTGGCAGCTTTTTCTTTCTGAGTGATATACATGGAACAAGACATGTCTTAGAATCAACGATGTCTTTGATTTGACGCTATATAGTATTGTTGCTAGAAATGGACACTCACTGAGTGCATAATTTCTTTTATGCAGACGCATGCTCTCTAACTGGAAGGACTCCAGCTGAGAAGAAAGAAGTACAAGAGTATCTAAACAGAAGGGCTGAGCCCTGAAGGGTAAACCAGAGCAAATCCAGTATGCTCAAACTGTACAAACTGGCGGCCAGAGCAAGCCTGAATAAACCAAGAGCCAGGAGCCAGGCCCAAGGCCTCATCTTTTGTGGCACCATGGAGAGCATAGGGGAATAGAAATCTGGCCCAGTATTGCTGAGCATCCCCAAAAACCACCCCGCAGCTCCTGGGACAAGGATATGCTGTGGTCCTAGAGAAATCTGTGTCCTGCCTACAGTGCTCCTGAGCTGGGGCCCTGCCCCCCCACCGGGCCTGTACAGAGTCTGCCACCAGAACCAGGCAGGTAGGGCAGAATTTCACAGATGCGCCCTGCTCGCAGCAGGCCCTGGTGGGGAAGAGGACTCAGGGGAGGCCCAGGGCCCAGATGGCCCAAGCAGTTGGGCATGACTGGGTTCCCTTTGCACATTATTAAAGTTGCAGCCATATAGGCTGCTGAAATGCAGGGCTGCAGCTACAGACTTGCAAGTGAGGACGATTCGCAGCTCCGCATGTGGGGGTCAGCTGCTGACGGCTGTACTGCCTCCAGGACCCCACCCTTCTGACTTATTCCCTGCAGGTTAGAGTCTGCGCCCACTGTGTGGCTGAGAAAAAGCATAGGCTGAAGCCCAACTCTGCTACTTCCTGGTGGTAGGAACTGAGGCGCACCCTCACCTCACTGGAGAAGTGTCCTGAGTAAAATGAGGACATAACAAGAAGACTGCCTCGTGGGTGGTGTGAAGACACACGGGGCCTGGAGCGAGCAAGCCAGCAACGGATGAGGACCGTTTACATGGGCCCCATGACCTCCAAGGTCTCAGAAGATGACATGCTTCCTTTTATTTGCTACTCTGAGCATTTCACACAGGGGAAACTGAGGTTTCTGAAGACAATGCCAGGAAGAGTCCTGCCCTGGACTTGTTATGACTTCACAGCTCTTTCCTGTGCTAGCAGTGTGATCTTGGGCTGTTTACTTAATCCCATCTCCTCTGGAAATGGGAATAATGATAATAGTGCCTATGTGAAAAGACTGAGGTTAAGATTGAATGGAATAACGCATCTAAAGTTTTAGTTTAATAATTGGTGACCCCATATCATCATCATCATCATCATCATCATCATCATCATCATCATCATTGATATCCTGGTCACCAGAGAGATCCCTTTCACTGTCCTTCTTACCATTAGGCTTATCCTCAAGAATAGTAATCAGGTCATCAGCAGGACAGAGGGATACCTTTGTCCCTTTCCCCCTCTTTCCACCTTTGGGATAAATGGTTGCTGTGGCAACATTATTGATTCACTAAGCAGGTCTGAGAATCTCCTAAGGAGGAGACTGAGGCCTATGTCTAGTCCTTTCCATCTGCCACACCACCCGCCACTCAGAAAGCAGGGTTGCTGGACTCTTAAAGGGTAGCCAAGGGCATCCCTGAAAGGGCCAGGTGCTCAGCTCTTGCCTACCTCTTCCCCATCCACAATCTGGAATCAGAGAAAACCCCAGAAAAAGCACGGTCTGAGAATCTCCTGAGGAGAAGACTGAGGCCTGTGTCTAGTCCTTTCCATCTGCCACACCACCTGCCACTCAGAAAGCAGGGTTGCTGGACTCTTAAAGGGTAGCCAAGGGCATCCCTGAAAGGGCCAGGTGCTCAGCTCTTGCCTACCTCTTCCCCATCCACAATCTGGAATCAGAGAAAATCCCAGAAAAAGCACTTCCGTGGGTTTTTTCAGTGATTGCTGCCATCATCTGGGCTGTAGGATAGTGGCTTGGAGCCATCCCTGCACCACAGGACGACCCCACAGGCACAGCGATCAGGCACCTAGGTCTCTCACCAGCAGGACACAGTACAAAGAAGAAAGAAGAGAGCCAGGAGCCCAGCATCCCCTCCCCTGTCAGAGCGACAGTGGGCAGAGTCCAGCATGGCCTGTCTCCAGCTAGCTGGCCCCAGTCTGTTTTGTTCCTGCTCAGAGGACAAGTGGGAACAGTACTCTAGCACATTCCCTGGGAGGTCCCTTGAGGTATTAAATGGTTTACAGAAAGCCTTAGCAAGAAGGGTGTTTTCTGATTATTTGTCTGCAGGATGGGAGTGGATTTCTGTAGAAACAGCCACCTCCCTTCTTAGAACAATTCCTTTGGCCTCCACCATTTACACCTGAAATTTAAGTAGGAGTCCTTCTTGGCAGAGACCAAAGAAAAAGTCTGTCTCCTCATCTTGCCCTCCAGTCTTCCTCTTCAGGCCCGACCTGCACTTGGCCTACTAGAGTGAACGGTCTGAAGGCTGGGCAGGACTCTCAGACCCCACAGCTGCAGCATAGTGTCACATCTAGCTTGCTATCCCTGGTCCTCCCAGGCTTCTCCATTCCACCAAAAGAAGCCCTGCCTCCCCCGCCCCGCCCCCCCCAGGCCAGTTCCTGAGACAAACCGTCTCCGCAGAAATAAGTACAAGTTGGAGCTAACATCATGTCTTCTCAGACCTTGGGTAAAAATAACAGCAGGTAGGAGGTGACCAAACCTTCACTCAACAGACATTGGCAGTGTGGCCTCTAGGTCTCCAGCAGTAAGTCCAGGTCAATATAAAAGGCAAATCTAACTATGCCTCACCCCAGATTAGAGGACCAAGTTCTGGTTCACTAGGAAGGCAGCAAGGCCAGGCCTTCCAGGATCTGACCTCAGCTGACTTCTCTAGTTCACCCTTCCTGACTCCGCATCCCCTACATTACTTACTGATGGTTTCCTGAGCAGAGTTGTTTCAGAGACCACCTCATCACCCACTCCCACAAACTGACCTTTCAGAGGCCTGTAGACACCTTTGAAGAATTCAAACCTCTTCAGAGAAAGGTGAGATAAATGCAATCTTTCAAATTTGGAAACTGAGGCATGAAAGAGTAAAGAATTTACTAGGTCAGCAATTCAAAAGCTGTGGTCCAGGGACCCCCTAGAGACTCTTGAGATCCTTTCAGGGATCCAAGAGGTCAAAACCATTTTCATACTAATACTAAGATGTTATTTGCCCTTTGTGCTCTCATTCTTTTGCAAATGCACAGTGGAATTTTCCAAAGGGTATATGATGTATGATATCACAGCAGACCGATTGCAGAAGTGGCTATGAGAATCCAGCGGATTTCTCTTCAGCCAGACAGTGAAGAGATTTGCAAAACTGTGAAACAATGCCATTCTTCTCCCTAAACATTTTTAGTTTGGAATTTATAGTTGCTTTCATTAAAAAGATGTTATTCATGTTAAATATAACGTGTTTATTATTTTTAAAATGAATTAACATTTTAAACCGCTCCATTTTAATATCTAATATAGTAAACATCAGTAGACATAACCCACATAAAGAAAATCCCTTTGGCATCCTCATTTTGGCATCGATCATTCTGAAGAGTGTGGAAGGGTCCTGAAATTAAACTGTTTGCAAACTGCTGGATTAGTGAAGGAATGACCGAGCAGGACTCAAACCCTGATTTCGTCCACAGTCCAGTCACCAAACCACGATTTACATGGCCTTTCATGCCCCCAATGATGCACCTGCCCTTCCTCACCTTGTTCCAAACGATCAGATTAGCAGGCAGTGGATGTAGTGCAGGCTTTAGAAGCCTGGTTGGGCTGAAGTCCCAACCGTCTCACTTTCAAAATGTGTGACTTTAGGAAAATGATCTCCCCTCTCTGCAGCTACCTCTGTTTTCTCACCCATTAAAGAGGGAGAGTATGAAAGAGATTGAAAGTCGTGCAGGATCTAGTCCTCCCTTCTTAGTCACAGAACCTTCAGTTTTCCATTTCCCCTGGACACGTAGCCACTGGGGATAAAGATTCCCTTTCTCAGCCTCCCTTACAGCCGGAAGTAGCCATATGACTAAGTTTTGCCCAATAGGATATAAGCAGAAAGGTCGTGGGTAA